CTCCTTATCATTCCTATTGACTCAGTAGCCCCAGAAAAATCGGCGGTAAATATTTTCTCTCCGGTTGACACAGAGGTTTCAATAATAAACGCAGTAAGTTCAACGTCCACTTGGCGCCATTTCGATTCCCGAGGTCAACACATGAGCCCCATATACTTTTTGATAAATTGGAAATGTGAAGGGAGGCCTCCAGTCAAACTCGTTATGTGTATTTTAGGCCCTGAAAACTTGAATAAACATCAAGGGCTGGGACTCTCAGCCTCAGTTGACTTTAAGCTCTCGTCGTGACCAATTCGTTCATTCATTCATTTTATTTCACTCTGCATAGATCATTTTTATTCCTCAATTCGATTGATTTCGCAGTTGATTTGATCTCGAGTTTTCTTCAGTTCTGTGATTAAAATGATTGCAGAGCAGTATGCAATACTCAATTATGTGATCCAACACTCCTCTCGCCTGCTTTCGGTAAGAGAAATGTCTTCTTGTTGCAAGGGAAAAAGTGTTCGGTTGTCCTGTTTGGAAAATTGCTTCTCAAATTTGAAAGAATTTTTTTTTATGTTAAAAGAGAAGAGGGGAGATTTGAATTTGAGTTTTCAGTGAAAATGAAAATTACATTTTCCGTTGATTTTCCCACGAAATTGTGAATTTTCAATTATAAAATTTAGAGAAATTAATAATAATGTTAATAATATTTGAAGGATTTTTTTATGTTGAAAAAAAAAAATTACGTGAGATTTTCCTTGATTTGTGGAATATTCAATGAAATTAGAATTTTCAGTGAAAATTCCTTCAATTTCCAATTAATAAAAATTTAATAAATAAATTTTCCTGAATTTTCATGGTCTCTATTAATTTTTATCTAATAATTAAATTAAAAATTACATTTTCCACTGATTTCCCCATGAAATTGAGAATTTTCCATCATAGAATTCCTAGAAATTTCAATAAAATTCTTATTTAATAAAAACTTCCCAAAATCACCACTGAAAATTGTGAAAATTGCCGCGACTATTTCATAAAATCTTCAAGACTTCATTAAAAAAAATTCCGAATTCATAAAAAAATCACAATTCCTAAAAAAATTCTCAGCAGCGTAGGATCCTCTTAGAATTTTCAGTGAAAATTCCTTGAATTTCCAATTAATAAAAATTTAATAAATAAATTTTCCTGAATTCTCATGGTCTCTATTAATTTTTATCTAATAATTGAATTAAAAATTACATTTTCCACTCATTTCCCCATGAAATTGAGAATTTTCCATCACAGAATTCCTAGAAATTTCAATAAAATTCTTATTTAATAAAAACTTCCCAAAATCACCACTGAAAATTGTGAAAATTGCCGCGACTATTTCATAAAATCTTCAAGACTTCATTTAAAAAATTGTGGAAAAATTCCGAATTCATAAAAAAATCACGATTCCCTGATTAAATTCTGCATACTCAAATGGTGTTTGTCGATGTTCGTCGAGTTTTTGCATTCATTGGTCTTGCGACCCACTTGCCACACGCCGCGAAGGTCACTTTCGATAAATCTCTCGGAGAAACTCCCCGAGACTTCATAATTCCAAATTTTCAGCAGCGCTGAATCCTCTCTATTTTCCCTCGGGGAATTGAGCGAGGAAACTCCTCTAAAACTTCCGGTTAAACACTCGATCGACGACAATAATGCTCGGGTAATATCCGTCATGAAACGACAGATATAATTCTGCGCTGGACATTTATCCGGATGCGCCTCATTAGTTCGTACGAAAACACTTGGACGCAATTCATCTGCATTTGAAACGCGGAAAACTGCACGTACGAGCGCGAGAGCGCGAGAGAGATCATCATAATTTTAATGTCAAACTCATGAATGTCTGCGGAACAAAAGTGCACAGCAGTGTCCAGTTTCATTGTTGATACGAGTAATTCAAATGAACAAGCACTCATTTATCGCTGATGTAACATCCCTCATCTCTCGTATTTTTTATTTTTTAATTCTGGGGTACAAGTGTGGGGAGTCAAGGAAAAACGATAAGCGCCTGAACTTGAAGTTCATCTTGGGTCGGGAATGACTCTTGAGACGGAAAAAAATATTCCACATTTTCAAAAACTTTCAAAAAATTTCTTCGTATTTTATTTCCAGTAGGTAAACGAATTCCATTGAGAAAATGCCATTCACACCGCGTCACTTGAGCTGATAATCATCCTGATGATTTTTCCGTTATCATTATTCATTTGTTTTCATAATTAATTTGAAATTTTCAACGGCATTCATTGCAAGAAAATTACAAAAAAAAAAATTTTCTTACAATAGGCCATCGCCCGAGTTTGTTTATTTTTTAGAATCTATATGAAAAATTGAGTTTTAATTGACGTCAATGAATAGAGCTCATTGAAGCTTATATTCATGAAAATTTTGAAAAGCTCAGCCGAGAGTTAAGTCAACTTGAATATTTTTACCGTTTCGCAACTGAATTAAATTCGCACAATCTTCCTTCACAAATATCATTAAAAAAACCGCCCCGCAGTCAGTAATTATGCAAATAAATCTCACCGATACAGCCTGCGAGATTATAATTGCCGTGACGTATAGTATCGGAATCACGGCATTATTAATTCCAAATCGAAGCTGATTATCGACGTAGTTTCATGGCCATGCCCTGGGGGTGTATTATTCACGAGGCGAGTGTTCAGGCGTTTGCGACTTTCTCTCAGTTGAAAAAACAATCAGCCCTCGTAAATCCGGACAATCGTTTTGTGCGGAGAGGATTAACAGGCAGATGTCGGATTAATCAGCTCGGTTACATTAGTGGAGATTCAAAGAGAAGGAAAACCAGTATTTTCCCCCTCGGTTTTAATCCGAGGCATTGAGCACAGGGCCACTGGTCTGGGAAGCATATGCGCCTGACCTTGAATTTTATTTCATCGAACGTTTAATTTTATTTTTTACATCTATTTTCACCAGCAAAAAGATTTTTTTTTACCACTAATTTTTTTAAATAGTTTAAACAATAAAACAATAATCTCTCGACAGAATTTTTTTATCATCTTTGTCAGGAAAACGATTTGTTTTTTGACAATCCCATTTTTTAAATAGTTTAAACAATAAAAAAAATTATTCTCTCTATATAATTTTTTTTATTAATTTTTTTCTCTACATAATATTATAAAAAAATAATGAGGGCCTTGAGGGTCACGATTCTATAGGTCATAAGGGCTAGAATCTCACATATTCAGCGTTTTCAGAATTAAAAAATTTTTTTTTGCCGTAGATAAAAGTCCAAAAAGTTATAAATGTCGAAAAAATGAGAGAAGTTATGAGGGTCATGAGGGCCAGGTAGTTTATAAGGATCGTAGGGGTCCTAATAGGCCTCGGGAGTAAGAAAAAACTCCTGAAATACCAGGAAAACAGCTGTGGGCGCCGCCATCTTACTGTGATACCCCCTCCCTCTGCCGCAAGGGGCTCCAAAGATGGCGGCGCCTCCACCTCGTGTTTTTAAACATTTTTTAAAATTATTTATCCCCTTCGGAATACCCTCACCTCACTCCATCCTGTTTCAACAAAATGAACAATTTTTTTAAGCCATCGTTCAGATTTCTCCATCTCCTTTCGGCTGAGAATTCACGGCGCAAAGTTTCTCCCGCATTTCAGTCGTTTTTTTTTACTCTCGAGGCCTCTCTTGAATAATCAAATACATTAAATATTTAATTAGAATATTTTTTTGACATTTAAAATTTATTTTTCTCGCTCTACTTCGGAGAACCTCCGAAATATGTCTGTGTCCTCACTAATTCTCCATGTTTCTGCACTGAATGTCTAGTTCCCCCTGCACCACCCCATAAACAATCATCATGAAAACACAATGAACAGAAAACAACGAACACTGGATGTCAATAACAATGTGTCGTAGCTGGTAGAATTTAGTACTAGTACAGTTAGAATGTTATCTAGTATCTAATTAGTCCCCTTGTATGGAACCCAAGGCCGGGGGTATCGTAGTCGTAGGTCAGGAGTAAACGACAGTTGCAATAAATTTTTATATTCCCTCTTATTGAATTTTCACAGTAAAAATATGTTGATACGTAATGTCTGCGTCGATGCCTCCTATCCTTGAGTGGACTTGATGATATGCGATGCAAATTACTGCAGAAATGCCATTTGATTTGTGTTTTCACTCGGAAGAAATTATTATTCGAGACATGGAGAGATCAATTTAATGGGAACACAAATTCAATTGGAAATTGGGGGGTGAATGGACACACGACAAAATTTCATGTGAAAAACCTAGAGAATTCTAATTAACTATTGAGTTATTTTCTATAGGAATTCCTCGACATCAATTTTCCTGGTTTTTTCTGTTTTTCTTCTCTCTTCATTAAAAAAATTAAACAAAAAAACTCGGAAAATTCAAGCAGAGAAATTTTTATAGGGAACATCTATTGAAAATTTCTATTGAAATCCAATAGAATTTTATAGCGAATTCTAATTATTTATTGAAACATTTTCTGTAGGAATTCCTCGACATGAATTTTCCTAGTTTTTTCTTTTTTTTTCTCTTCATTAGAAAAAATGAAACAAAAAACTTGGAAAATTCAAGCAGAGAAATTTTTATAGGGAACATCTATTGAAAATTTCTGTTGAAATCCAATAGAATTTTATAGCGAATTCTAATTATTTATTGAAACATTTTCTATAGGAATTCCTCGACATGAATTTTCCTAGTTTTTTCTTTTTTTTCTCTTCATTAGAAAAAATGAAACAAAAAATCTTGGAAAATTCAAGCAGAGAAATTTTTATAGGGAACATCTATTGAAAATTTCTGTTGAAATCCAATAGAATTTTCCAGCGAATTCTCAAGGTTTCTCTACAAAATTTTGTACGTGCGCCATTAAATTTCTGTTTTCCCTCGGGAGAAACAATTATTCGAGACATGAAGAATTAAAAATTGAGAACACAAATTCAATTGGTAATTTTTTTAACGAACAAAGTCTTCAATTTTCGTTATTTCCTTCCAGGTTTTGTCTATGAGCGAAGAGCTCCGAAGAGCCTTGTACGCAAACAGTGCAATATCCCTTGACATTGACGTCATTGTGCCTGATTTAGTCGGCACAACTGAGATACTGAAGGACGAGCACAGAGAGAGTCTGTGCCGGCACTTGCCAGCGAGAGCCGAGGGCTATCTCTGGACCCTCGTGTTCAGCACAAGTCAGCACGGCTTCAGCCTCAACAGCATGTACCGAAAAATGGCCAAGGTTGAGAGCCCCATACTTCTAGTCATTGAGGATACCGAGGGAAATGTAAGAATCACCGAGATATTTGCATGATTATTCATAACAACAGTTGCAGAATTCACTAGTTCACAGTGGAATTAATTAGACTTGATGGGGAAGACCTTCGTCGGAGATTTACAATCCTTTAGATTCATGAAAAACAGAGGCTTTTGGAATTGTTTAGTTGGGAGATTAATTCATTGGGGGGTTTTTGTTGTTTAGAATTAATTGAGGGGGTTTTAATCTTTAGAATCAATTGAGGGATTTTTAATTTTTAGAATTAATTGAGGGGTTTTTAATCTTTAACATTAAATGAGGTTTTAATCTGTAGAATTAATTGAGGGGGTTTTAATTTTTAGAATTAATTGAGGGGTTTTTAATCTTTAACATTAAGTGAGGGGGTTTTAATTTTTAGAATTAATTCGGGGGTTTTTAATGTTTAAAATTAATTGAGGGGTTTTTAATCTTTAAAATTAATTGAGGGGGTTTTAATCTTGAGAATTAATGGAGGGGGTTTTAATCTTGAGAATTAATGGAGGGGTTTTTAATCTTTATAATTAATTGAGGAGGTTTTAATCTATAGAATTAATTGAGGGGTTTTTAATTTTTAGAATTAATTCGTGGGTTTTTAATCTTTAAAATTAATTGAGGGGTTTTTAATCTTTAGAATTAATGGAGGGGTTTTTAATCTTAAAAATTAATTGAGGGGGTTTTAATCTTAAAAATTAATTGAGGGGGTTTTAATCTTTAGAATTAATTGAGAGGGTTTTAATCTGTAGAATTAATTAAGGGGGGGTTTCATCTTTAAAATTAATTGGGGGGTTTTTAATTTATAGAATTAATTGAGGGGGTTTTAATCTTGAGAATTAAGGAGGAGTTTTTAATCTTTAAAATTAATTGAGGGGGTTTTAATCTTGAAAATTAATGGAGGGGTTTTTAATCTTTAGGTTTTTGGTGCTCTCACGTCGTGTTCTCTCCACGTGAGCGATCATTTCTATGGGACAGGTGAATCACTCCTCTTCAGGTTTACACCGAGGTTCCAGGCGTTCAACTGGACAGGGGATAATGTTTATTTTATCAAAGGGAATAATGAGAGCCTGGCTATTGGCGCTGGAGAGTGAGTATCAGTCAAATTTCTCCATGTTATAAGCAAATTCACTAATTATCTATTTTTTTTTGCATTGAGAAATTCTAAAGCCAGAGAAATACTAGATTTGAATCAAATAAAACGTTTTATTCAACATTTTTATGTTTAATTCACAAAAAATGTTTCAATTCTGTAAAAAATAATTCATTCAGGTAATAATCCAAATAACGCATTAAAGTTTTTATTTGGAACTATTCATTTGAAGCGAGTCAAAATACGACTGAAAATCAAATTTAAGTTGAAAAAAATCACGGGATATTTAAATAAATGCAATTACTTTAGTGAAATATTTCAATTAATTAACTTTTTAATCATTATTAATGTTGTAATTACGTGAAATGAACAATTAACTCGTTCAAATCTGGGAAAATTATTTAATAATTCTAATTTATTCACTTAAAATGAACAATTTCTAAATTAATCAACAAATTAAATTTTTTGATTGTATCTTCACGTTATTATTTGCAACATCATCACAATTTTGTGTTTAACAGTGGTAAATTTGGACTCTGGTTGGACGGTGATCTGTACCAAGGGCGAACCCAATCCTGCAGCACATACGGCAACGAGCCCCTCGCCCCCCACGAGGATTTCGTTGTCAAAACCCTAGAGTGTTTTGCATTCATATAGGATTCGGCCACCTACAGCCCATCCACCACAACGTTGGAGCCTAACTTGACCTGAGCTCGGGATTTGTAGTGGAAAAACAAATCCAAGTATCAGGAGAGATCAGACTTAATCACCATTTAACGAGGATTAAAGATGGAGATTCATGTAACGAGAGAATAAAAATGAAAAACTGTAAAATTAAGAGGAGAGCACTAAATCGAGGGGGGAGATACTCCGAGTGTTGGGAGTTGTCGATTCAGAATAACTGAATTCAAAAATCATGAAATTAAAGCACTAGATGAATCGACGTTAATTAATTCAATCTATTTTGTTGGGATATTTAATTAGATGAATTGATGCGAATGACGATGAGAATTGTGAATTTGTGCTTTAATTGCCGGAATGTCAACTGATCGATAGACTTATCGTTAACATTTTTTTATTTATATTTATTTTCATTATTTTGTATTGTTTAACAGTTAGTTGTTACCCGCCGATAGATCAACGATATTAATTACCTTCTGATGCAGCAAATAAATCGAGTTGTTGCGCCTGAATATGTAAAACTTGATTGTTTATTTTACCAAGCAGATTGATAAACTCGTGAGAGGGAAAAAAATGGAAGAGAGATATATTTTTTTTAGACACTGAATGTGATGAGAAAATTTAACTAATGGATTTTGCGAATTTCTGATACCTCAGAGAGAGAGAGAGGGAGAGAGGGAGAGGGAGAGGGAGATTATGGAGATGCTACCAAAAACCAATGCTAACTAACCGTTTGTTGATGTGTAGATAATGTAGATAGTGAATGTACATATATATATACTGCAAGTCGTGTAGAATGATTAATTGTAACGCTAAAAAAAACGCAAAAATATATATTATACAAAGAGAGTTAAAAATCAATATGTTGGATCGTATTATATCGTGTATACATGCTATTACTGTAATGTGAGGCTTGGCTGGGACTCGAGAGAGGCCATTCAAACCTGTCTAGGATCTGAGATAGTTTAGGGTCACGTATGAATCTTAATGATTAAATCAAAGGATTTTGAGTGGATTTTGAGGGAATTGGTAATGTCTGATTATTGTTGATGAGGGTTAGCTGATAATTTTAACGTAGAATTCTACACCAGTGTCACAACGAATGCAAGTGTCTGTGCATCATCTTCTGAATTCATCATCTTTCATTATTTGAGATCAAGTGGAATTGAACGGAAATTGTGCTGTTCATTTCCATTTAATTTAATTGACAATTGAAAAATCGAAATCATGAAAAATTGAGGAACTGAGTGAATTCACGAGCCATCGAGTCCATAATTCATCGAGTGCTTCACAATCATTAGATGCGATGGGGTTTTGATGAAAAGAGAGAGAGAGATCGGGGGAATTAATCGGAGTTACAGTGCTGGATAGACAAATGTTGGAGTAGCACCTAGACGAGAGAAATAATTAATAATACACACGAGTTGTGGCTGACGAACTAGCGTATTATGCATATCAAGTCTAATGATTCAGTACATTAAAGAATACTTTGATAAATCTGTGTTATTTTTCATTAATCTCCACATACTGATGACTTTTATTTACCATTGATCGTTGGAAAGTCGATTTATCACGCATTTCATCATGAACATTTAAACGTGATAATAAAATACTAATCGATAGCATAAACTCGTTGACTGATCAACTAATTAATCGGTGAATTGCAGCTTTGGCTTCGGTTTATTTGCATTTTCATTCGGTTGAAAAAATTCAACTGCTGAATAACGAGGGATAATTGAGGAAATAGTCGTTGGAGATTGAGGGAGATTAATAGACGAGTTTTTTTGATAGATGTCAGCTTGCTAGATGTAGAATAACTCAAGAAAAATCACTAGAACAGTTGGTGAATTAATGAAGCATTAGATTTAACTACAAGAGGAAAAATCCTAGATGTATTGTTTGTGATATAAAATAACACAACATTGCTCCCAGGTTCCCCTTTTCTAACACCACGAGGAAATACTGTTGGGGTAGAATTAGCAGAATCGTAACTCTATGAGTGCTGAGACGTCAGACGAATTTGGGAGCTTATATCCAGCATTGTACAGAAATTACAAAAAAAAAAAGATTAAAAATTGGAAAAAAAATATGTGCTACTGCCTATACACACATGTAGGGGTAGATTAAACGTAAATGTGAGTTGTTGAAGAGAAGACATTAATATCGCGGGACAAGTTCGATCATTTCGAATATAATCCTCAATACTCTTTGTGACTCAGGAAGTTTTCCATGAATCAGTGTCTAAAATTGGCTGAACATGTCTAATGATTAATACAAGTGTTTTTAGGTGTGTAATGAGTCACCTGCGGTTGGAGCTTCGATTCTGGCGATCGAAATGAGAAGAATTCCGTAGAAAATTGCATTTTTTTAGAGAGAATGTTTCATGAAAATTATTTTGGGGAAAAATTAAATTTCATCTGCTGCAGAATTTTTTCTGTTGAGAGATTCTCTAGGAATTCCTCGATGTGAATTTTCCTAGTTTATTTCACGTTTTCTTCTCTTATTTTTTATTTAGAAAAAAAAAGAAAATTTGAACTAAAAAAATTTATAAAAAATTGAATAGAAATTTAATAGAATTTAAAGTGAATTTGGAGGAGTTTTCTATCATTTTTTTTTTCTTAGGTTTCTTCTCATTTCGTTTATCCAAAGAATAAAATAGGAAGCATTTAAGACCGTACAGACATACCCAGAGCGATGTTGATCTGTCGTACATTGTCAATTAGTTCCAGACTGACTGCAGGGATTGAGAGAGTGGATAACAGTTGTGTGTCTCGGTGTTTCTAGCCAATAGACGTGTCGTCGTCATCGTCGTTGAACACATCATTGTTTCAAAGAAATCAAATTATGTGAAAGTTTGTAGATGGGCTGTGGTCAATATCCGATGATGAGATAATTCAGAGGGTAATCGAGTCTTCCTTGGGAGCAGATTAAATTCAGACCCGAATTTGAATGATTGAGGGGCCTCGGGCCTCTCGACATTCCAAGATTAAGTGACAACAATGATTTTATTCGATTGAGGATGTCCAAGTACTTTTGCAAGTGAAGTTTGAGCAAATTCAATTATTTATTTATAAACAACGAATGTTTTAAAAAACTGGGTAGAATTCAATTTAAATAACACTGAATTTTCATGATTTTTTTCTAAATTTTCTCGCGTAATTTAATTAACAAATTTGAATGAATTTGAATAAACAAACATGAATAAACAATTTCAATTATTTATTTCTAAAGAATTAATGTTTAAAGAAATAATTCATGATATTTTTAATTTTTTTTGCGCAATTTAATTAACAAATTTGATGATTGAAAATACTTGGATGTCCTCAATTAACAATTTTCTGTCCAAGGCCCACAAAGTGCCACATCACTCTTACTTCATCACAAAAATCCAATTAAAATTAATAATTTTCCCCAAAAGATATAATTTAACCCCATAAAATCTCTGCTAGACACACAATAATGGTTGAAAGATTGCAGAATAAAAAAAACATAAAATTATGGAATGAAAAAAAATCTCTGGACCAATGAATTTTACACTTTATAATTAAAGAGAAAAACCCCAACTTCTTGAAATTGCTACTTCCGTGAATGCTTCTAGCACAATCTCTGGACCCGAATAACTCATTGATGATAAAATTTAACGTGTAAGGAGTAGAAATTGTTCTGAGATATTCGATTATCGTTATTGTATTGGCAGTGATGCCATTGTCGTGATAAAAAATGATAAAAAAAATATAACTTCGACGACACGAGTTAGAGTGGTGCTAGCACTAGCTGCCCACCCCCAGTCAATACCAATTGGAGCTGTTTATTGAGTGATAATTATTCGGAGAGAGTGGGAGAGTTGAAGAGGCTTTTGTTGAGATGATAATTCAGATGAAAATGGTCTGTTTGGTTTTGCTTATCAGAATGTGATCGATCAGGTGCTGATCGGAGGGATGAATAATGATGGTGAGTGATGGTATGGAGTACGTACGTACCAGTGCGTCAATTGTATTTATGTAGATCATTATATGTAAATATACCTTGGGCTTGTGTGGGCTCATTGTAACATTAACACGAACACAGAGAACAATTAACACGCATGTATTAAATAAATGCCAACCGATGTGTTGTGAATGAATTCGTTTTGTTGTGTTTTCTCTTCTGGTCTTTAGAAAATTATTACTGGTTTTTGGACGATTCTGTTGAAGAATTCCGCAGCTTTACCGCGTGTTTCTTTTATAAGAAATGTGGAAATGTATTTTATTTTATTAACATGAAACAAAATTAAAAAATATAATCTGAAATCTATTGTGCAGCTGTTTGTTTATTTATTCTCCCAAATTTAAAATAATAATTAGAATGGAATTACAATCGACTGTAGACGGACTCGTGAGCAATCATGTCTCGTGTGACCTCCGCCAAAGACCTGCAACCTGAAAACCAGAGGGATAAATAAATTAACAATTTATCCTTCGAGGATCTTTGTTATTAACAATTCACCAGCAAGAGCGAGGGCTTCTCTGATCTCCTTCCTCATGATTTCGAGAACTGCAGTCGCCCCTTCCTCACCGGCGTGAGCCAGCCCCCAGAGCATCGGTCTCCCGAAGAACACCTGCGACGAAATTACTCATTCATTAGATTTTTGGAACTCCCAGTCAATTTCAGGATCATGAATGCAGATTCTACCATTTTGGCGCCCAACGCCAGCGCTTTGAACACATCTGTTCCTGTCCTCACTCCGCCGTCTAAATAAACCTCTATTCTTCCATCAACGGCTTCAACAACTTCTGGTAACGCCTCGATCTGCAATGAAGTGGAAAAAATTTTCATGGCTGAGTGAAATGGGGGAATCCCAGGAATTTTTTCCGTTCCATTTTGGCCGCGTCTATTCGCATTGCGCGGAATGCGGAAGAACCAATTGCGGAAAATTTTCTCCGATCATTATTACAAAGTTTACGAAGTTTAAAAAAAATTATTACAGAGTGAAGTTGTTCAAATAATATTTTCTTTATGAAAAAGTGCAGCTTCTCAGAATGAAGCTGTTCGACTATCTTAGCCATTCTCAGTGATGGGCTGTGTTAGTTACGAAAAACCGCGAGAACTTTTTTAGCTGTTAAAATTCGGTTCTACACGGGATCGCAATTAATAAAAATAATTTCGATTAACAACGATTGCAATTACTGTTGCTGCAGTTCCGTCAATCTGTCTCGCCCCATGATTCGAGACAACGACCCCGCTAGCTCCATTTTCCACCGCTAAAATAGCGTCCTCAGCGGTCAAAATGCCTTTGAGTACAATCGGCAGTTGTGTGACGCTAAAAAAAGAAAGGAATAAAAACATTGAAGATCACCGCACTCTTTCCGCCGAAAATCACCTCTTGAGCCAGTGCAGATCCCTCCACTCCAGGGAGTCGTCGAAGAGGTTCGTGACGTACTCATTAAGTCCCGATCCTCCGGAGGACTCGTTAATCTTTCTTGACAAGCGCCCCTCGAAATTGGCGAGCTTCAAGTGCCTCGGCAGGACGAACCTGTTCCGGACGTCGGCCCTCCGCGTCCCGAAGAAGGGAGTGTCCACCGTGAGGACGAGGGCCCTGAACCCGGCCCTCTCCACTCGTCTTATCAAATTCATCGTCACATCCCGATCGGTGTAGACGTACAATTGGAACCATTTGGTGGCACTCGGAGCTGCCGCTGCGACTTCTTCAATGCTGCTGGTGGATATCGTTGATTGGATGAATACTGTACCTGATTGCTGGACAGCTGGAGTTGAAATAAAAAAATTACTGAATTTTTTTATTTCATTTGCCTATCAAATTATTAATTTTGAGAGGTGTAATGAGAGAGGAAATAAATAAGTGAGAGCTAACAGCTCGTGGGATAAACCTCCCACGAGCCAAAAAACTCTTTTCCGCACTCGTAACGAAATATACTATTTTCCTACTAAATCGCCTCTACCGGCAGTTTTATCGAAAAACGCGCAATGAAGTTGCGGAATTTCCCACGCATACCCCGTGCGCAAGTATTTTGAAACATCATTCCGCGCGTTGCGCATCATGTTGCGCACAACGTCACCCCCAGAGAAGTGAAAATACAGATGGCGGAGCGCATCGTTTCCCAGCCTCCCCTTCCCGTCAATTAAAAGATAAAAAAAGATTTGTGAGCACATGAGTCCGACCTTGAACAGCAGCGAGTGCTCATGTCACTCATCGCTGCCGATCTGTCCGACTCCAGCTGCTGGACAGCTGGAGTTGAAATAAAAAAATTACTGAATTTTTTTATTTCATTTGCCTATCAAATTATTAATTTTGAGAGGTGTAATGAGAGAGGAAATAAATAAGTGAGAGCTAGTAGCTCGTGGGATAACCCTCCCACGAGCCAAAAAACTCTTTTCCGCACTCGTAACGAAATATACTATTTTCCTATAAAATCGCCTCTACCGGCAGTTTTATCGAAAAACGCGCAATGAAGTTGCGGAATTTCCCACGCATCCCCCGTGCGCAAGTATTTTGAAACATCATTCCGCGCGTTGCGCATCATGTTGCGCACAACGTCACCCCCAGAAACGTGAAAATACAGATGGCGGAGCGCATCGTTTCCCAGCCTCCCCTTCCCGTCAATTAAAAGATAAAAAAAGATTAGTGAGCACATGAGTCCGACCTTGAACAGCAGCGAGTGCTCATGTCACTCATCACTGCCGATCTGTCTGATTCCGAATGGGCACGAATGGGCGATATAAAACGATAGTGAACAGTTCCTGCCGAGATACCGAAGTCACTCGCCGCACGATTGCCTCGCCATCGTGCCCAATCATTCCAATACAACACGATAGTCTGATTATGTGATAACAAATGGACTTATTAGGCGCAACTTGAGATGGCCCGTGCACTCGCAACTGTACGAGGAGACTCTGCATTCAATTGCTGCACCCTTGGAATGTGATAGTAGTATTACTGGGATAATGAAGCGTAACGCTGTTAGTCTGATCAAATTCGTCTTCCTCGCGGCGATCACAGTGGTAACGACTGTCATAGTATTTCGCTATGTGAGGAGCGGGAAAATAAACTACTCCAGGGGGGCCCACTCACTGCAACTGCATAATTATCCGGAGGATCAACAAAAAAATGAGGTATTTTTAATGAAAAAAATCATTCACTCATTGTTCGTGAGAAAAAAATTTTTTTTATGAATTTAATTAATTGAGTTGCGTTAAATTCAATTTTACGAGTCAAATATTTTTTAATTAAATGTTTTATTTTCAGAAATTTATGACACTGGCCTGTTGCACCCATTGAACAGACGTGAATTGAACTGAACTGAATTGTTTATTAACAATGAAATGAAAAATTTACGACACGAGTTCGAAGCCACGACCCTCGGGTCCTCAGGCTGTACCTTTCACACTTACGAAAAAATTGGGAAAAACCTTGAAAATTTGGTATTGAATGCATGGGAAATATTTTTTAGAGGTCAATTTTTCTGTACAACTTATTCTATCGAGATGTTTTCTACAGAAATTCATCAGCTCAAATTTTCCTCAAGTTTTTTTAACGAAAATAAGAAAAATGCAGTGGAAAAAACTTGGAAAATTAATGTCGAGGAATTTCTAGAAAAAGTTGCGTAGAAAGACGAATTTAGAGATTTTCTATGAAATATTTTCTGTGGAATTTCTGGGCTTCGAATTTTCCAAGTTTTTTCATTCGATTTTCTTGTTCTTTCAAGCAAAAATACCTATCGCATTCTAAAGTTTTGCCTCCATTGCAATTGACAACTGTTTCATTTAATTTTCATCATATATTACCAATTCCGAATTCGCGAGTTAAATCTATTAGATTTGAGCGCGATGAATGATGAAATAGAAAGTCCCGCTTTCTAAAATTAATTATCCGCACTCGGCAGGTGCCCCCCCCTGCACCCCACGAGCGTTTGATTTCCTTAAATTCCAGAAGCCGGAGAAGGCCTCCCGATCGGCGAAGCTCGACTGGCACAACTTGAAGTTGATAAACGAGGAGTCAAAAAGAACGGGAATGGGCGAGCAAGGGAGACCTGCGACGCTGCCGCCCTCGTCGTCGCCCCTCCGGGACAAGTTGTACCAGACGAACGGCTTCAACGCAGCCCTGAGCGACCTGATCGCCCTGAACCGCTCGATCCCTGACATTCGGCACCCGGACTGCAGGCGAAAGAAATACCGATCGAAATTGGACTCGGTATCAGTGATAGTGTCATTCCACAACGAGCACTTCTCCACGCTAATGCGCACCTGCTGGAGCGTGGTGAACCGTTCGCCCCCGGATCTCCTGGAGGAGATAATCCTGGTGGACGACGCAAGTACAAAACTGGATTTAAAGTCGAAGCTGGATGACTACATCGCCAAGGAGCTGCCTCTGGTGAAGATAATTCGTCTGCCAACTCGTTCGGGGCTGATAAGGGGGCGCCTGGCAGGAGCTAAAGTGGCGAGGGCGAAGGTCCTGGTGTTCCTGGACGCCCACACGGAGGCGAACGTCAACTGGCTGCCACCGCTGCTGGAGCCCATCGCGGAGAGCTACAAGACCTGCGTCTGCCCCTTCATCGACGTGATAGCCTACGACAGCTTCGAGTACAGGGCGCAGGACGAGGGTGCCAGGGGCGCCTTCGACTGGGAGCTGTACTACAAACGTCTTCCCCTGCTCCCCGAGGACCTCAAGCGCCCAGCGGAGCCCTTCAAATCCCCGGTGATGGCCGGAGGGCTCTTCGCGATCAGCGCGAAATTCTTCTGGGAGCTGGGGGGGTACGACCCCGGCCTCGACATCTGGGGAGGGGAGCAGTACGAGCTGTCCTTCAAGATATGGCAGTGCGACGGGGAGATGTACGACGCACCCTGCTCGAGGGTCGGCCACATCTACAGGAAATTTCCGCCCTTTCCGAATCCTGGGAGGGGCGACTTCCTGGGGAAGAATTATAAAAGAGTGGCCGAGGTGTGGATGGACGAGTACGCAGAGTTCATTTACAAGAGGAAGCCCCATCTCAGGAGCCTCGACCCTGGGGACCTGCGGGAGCAGAAGGCACTGAGGTCCAGGCTACGGTGCAAGTCCTTCAAGTGGTTCATGGAGAACATTGCGTTCGATCTGGTGGAGGTTTATCCGCCGATTGAGCCTGAGGACTTTGCCAGCGGGGAGATCAGGAGCATTGGAGCCCCTGAGATGTGTCTCGATGCCAAGAAGAGGAGGAAGGACGAGGCCATTGTCATGGATTCTTGTGTCAGGGACCTGGGGAAGAATAATGGGAACTTTGAGCAGGAGTTCAGGCTCACTTGGCACAAGGATGTCAGGCCCAAGGGGAGGACCGAATGCTTGGATGTCTCCAGTGGGGACTCCAAGGCTCCTGTCACGCTTTATCCGTGTCATGGCAAGCAGGGGAATCAGCTCTGGAGGTACGACATCGAGAAGCAGTGGCTCATGCATGGGTATTCACAGAGGTGCTTGGAGGCAGACCCTGGGGGCAAGAGGGTCTTTGTTACTGCCTGTGATCCCACGAGCTCCACGCAGAAGTGGAGGATTCAGGATGTCAATATGAAGGCTATCAATGGCTGAGAAATTTTGGACCACAAAGTTACTGAGGGGAGATATCATTCCGAATATTTTCGACATTTGAACTAGTCATTGGAGTTTTTTTTTTGGTAACGCTGATACTTTAGACTTTTTTCGATGTTATGGAGGAAAAATTTTATAGAAAAACACTACGAATTCGCTGAAAAATTCTAGTAGATTTCTATAGAATTTCCTCGGCCCAAATTTTCCAAGTTTTTTTGTTTGAATTTCTTAATGAGAAGAAAACTTGGAAAATTTGAGCCGAGGAAATTCTATAGAATCGAATTCTATCGACTTTTTCTACTGAACATTTTCTATTAAATACAAATCCAACAGAATTTTCTAAGGAATTCGCAGAGTTTTTTTGTGATACCTCGAGAATTAATTCACGAAAAATCGTGACATCTCATTTGATCGAGTCATTTACATTTGAAAAAAACGTCTGAAGCCTCCGTTTTCCTCCCCTCGTCCCTAATTCGATTCCATTCTATCAAGAGACTAATTATGAGATTATGAGATTGATCCCGATGATTGACTATAATTGTTTCCACTCCTCCGAGCTTAGATTGAATCAATTACGAGCTTCAATTAACGATAATTCAGTTGTCCTTCGTATTGTTCTTCATGTTCAGTGAATAATTCTCGGACGACGTGATTATTAATTTATTACCGAACTGATGTGTAAATAAACATTTCGCAGTGCCTTACGATGCATGAGAACCTGTACTCCTGTACTTTTAATCCGCACATTTGCTCAAGTTAATTTTTAACTTTCATTTACTCTTCCTTTCATCACTCGGTTCATTACCCCGAGATGACGGTAGGATATATTTTTGTATACCCTGTGACCCAGTGAACGATTAATAAAGTGTTCAACAGCGCGAGAAATTTAATGTGCTCTTGATTTTTATGACTTTTACCTTTCGCGGTGGCGCATTCGCCGTCTGGGTGGGCCATCCGCTGCATCGCCGTTGGGGCCACCCCCAGGGGCATGGAAATCCTCTCTCCGAGGACTTTCGTACTTATATCGATGCTCGAGACATTTCTGAGGACTCGGGGGCGAATTCTATATCTGCACAGGAATTTTTAAAAAATAGTAGAAAAATTGTTTTTCATCGAAAGGTGAAAACTTTTGTAATATCAAGGAAATGAATGAATTTGAATTGAAATTCTTGAAAAATTCCATTAGAATTTTATTCAATAATTTTATTCGTTTTTTCTGAACGATTTTTCGAAGCAAAAGTCAATAGATTTTTTTTTTTATTTGATTGAGGGATTTTATTAATAAAAATCATCCTCAAGTCTCCAGTTTTATGAAAAAAAAAACGCCAACAGAATAAATTATCTGAAAAAAATGATTTTCATCGAAGAAAAAAATGAATTGAATTGAAATTCCCTTTCAAAAATTCTGTTAAACTTTTATTCAATAATTTGATTTTTTTTTCGAAGGAAAAGTCAAAAGATTTTTATTTATTTTATTTAATTGAGGGATTTTATTAATAAAAATCATCCTTAAGACCTCAGTTTTATGAAAAAAAACGCCAACAGAATAAATTATCTGAAAAAAATGATTTTCATCGAAGAAAAAAATGAATTGAATTGAAATTCCCTTTCAAAAATTCTGTTAAACTTTTATTCAATAATTTGATTTTTTTTTCGAAGGAAAAGTCAAAAGATTTTTATTTATTTTATTTAATTGAGGGATTTTATTAATAAAAATCATCCTTAAGACCTCAGTTTTATGAAAAAAAACGCCAACAGAATAAATTATCTGAAAAAAATGATTTTCATCGAAGAAAAAAATGAATTGAATTGAAATTCCTTTTCAAAAATTCTGTTAAACTTTTATTCAATAATTTGATTTTTTTTTCAAAGGAAAAGTCAAAAGATTTTTATTTATTTTATTTAATTGAGAGATTTTATTAATAAAAATCATCCTTAAGACTCCAGTTTTATGAAAAAAAAACGCCAACAGAATAAATTATCTGGAAAAAATTATTTTACAGCTTCAAGAAAATAAATGAATTAAATTAATTTTTTTTCGAAAATTCTACTAGAATTTTATTCAATAATTCTATTCGTTTTTCTCACCGATTTATCAATGGAAAAAATCAATGAATTTTTATTCTTTCGGATTAATTGCACGATTGTTACCAAATCAGTTAAAAAAATCAACATCTATTGCATTTTTTCCCCTTCAAAAAATAGAATTTTTTTTTCTAATTTTTTCAAATGATGAAATTTTCGCAAAAATAGATTACATAATGCTTGCCATACTTTCTAAATGCGTTTTTATTCCACTCAAGTGTCACCTCGTCCCCAGCCCCACTCCTATAATAATCCCTCGCCGAAATGGGCAGAATCTTCATCGCCGACTGTTCGAAGTCTTGAACACACGTGAAAGCCTCCATACCGCAGAATTCGCACGCAAAATTCACTTCAAAACTGAATAAATGAAGGGGACGAACAAAACGCACGAACTAAACGTCAAAGAGATAACCGATGAAGCAATCGATCATCTCGTGACTGATAACTCCGCATGAAAGTTCCTATTATTCGCAGGAAAATTGCTTATCATCCCGCGCCGAGAGAACATCACCATCTCAACATTGCGAATGTCCCTGCAGAAAAATGCCCGAGATTTTCCCACTGGACTTTGGAAAAGGGGAATTTTCCACCGCAACACGATGTGCCAAGGGCCCCAAATAAACTACCCGATACGCTTCAACATTTTATTATCATTCGGTAGAAACAATACACAAACTGTCGTATTCCCTCAACTTCACGTGAACAAGTCATTCCACTCAAGATTCGAAGAGCCAGACTTCGTTCCACTCATTGTTGAAATAAAAAACCTCAAGAGAATCTTTTAGAGTTGACAAAGGCTCGGGGACAGCCAGCGAGACTGAAAATGCTTACAATAAATGCCTAACAACAAACAACAGAATTATTCTCTCAATTTTTCTCATTCATTTCACATAGTCAATGCACTCCTCGCTCCCCTAAAATTTCGTTCCACCGATTTCTCCCCGTTAATTAATAATAACGAATGAAACTGTTTCAACGAATGATATTCCATTGATTAATAATTATTAATCAATGGAATCATCAGCTTAAGAATCGCCTCCTCCGAGGCCAGTGACGTTCCTCGATAATCTGGTACCACTTCAACTCTCTAGTCCCGTTTTCCCTCCCCATTGAGACGAAAATATATTCATACCCTCGTGTGAGCCACTTGCCCATAAATTTTCACACTTCATCGAGACTTCAAAGCACCGATCAATGACAGAGTGACACATGTCCATGTAAATACCTATTTTATTTACAGTACAACGTTTACGCGTTAATTATATATATTTTTGAGTAGAAACATTCTCCTCCAAGACATTTCATCTCTTTAAATACAATCGCATTAAAAGTGCATTATTCACTCCATTATTTTAATCTCTCTTTTATTCATGAGAACCTCAAAGGTTTTTCAAGGCTCCTGGTGACATTAATCATGTTGGCATTGTGTTAAACACTCAATGTTCAGTGTGACCTGTGTGCAAAAAAAATGATAATTAAAATAAAAGCGCAGCTGTTACAGTCATCAAGTTAGTCGAGTAATTTATTTAACTGTTGAGTTCTTTTCTCGATATTTTTTGTCATTTATTTTGGTTTTTTTAATTCTTTTAATATCATATGTTGTTATGTACAGGTGTTTGATTGCTTACGGTATTAACGTTCTCTTATTCTTGTTTTTCGTATATTTATTCGGTAGCCCAAAGTGACATGCCATTGGTTTCATCAATTTCCGAGTGAATTGCAAGATCAGTTTAACGACACTCTCTCCCCCTCCGAGAACTATCAATTGATATTTAAAAAATTCTAGTTGAACACTTCCTCAATTTTCCTCAATCGTTTTTTCATCTTTCGTTTTTTTCCTTAAACTCGAAGCGTGTTAGTATCAAAGTCGGCATAATCGTTTCTTTTTTTTGGCTTTGGTAAGAATCTTTTACATATAATATATTTTTGTATTATTTTTTCAACTCTCATCGTTAAAAACTAAATTCCTCTGAACAATTTACGCCATTAAAATTGTGAGAATAGCCATCGGTTGTTATTTGGTGGAATCAATTCACATGGCAGTCTTGAGCGAGAAAGTAAGGGGATTCGATTAAAATTAATGTTTAACAACACCTCAATCACTGATGACTGGACTTTATTCTTTAAATTTATCGTTTTTTTGCTTCAACCACTGCTTTACTGACTAGAATCCCAATGCACTCAGCTATCCATTGGTGATTTCTAATTCGAAAGATTTAAATTTTGTGATGATAATTATTGGAGTCACAAAATTCAATCAAAAGCGCAAAGTGTCGAGAGGCCTGAGGGGAGAACTTTGATTCGAGAATTCTCAGCCAAAAGGAAATGGAGAGATGTGAACAATGGGTTGAAAAAATTGTTCATTTTTCGGGAGTTGGATGAACTGAGTTGAGGGTGATTTGAAGGGGATAAAAAGGTTTAAGAAGTGTTTGAAAATACGAGGTGGAGGCGCCGCCATCTTGGGAGCCCCTTGCGACAGAGGGAGGGGTAGCCAAACAAGATGGCGGCCACAGCTGGCGACCACCTCGTATTTTTAAACATTTTTTAAAATTATTTAGCCTCTTCAGATTGACCTCAACTTCTGGCATTCGAATTCTAGAAAATGAACTAATTTTTTAAGCCATTCTTCACACTGTTAAATTTTTTTGTTAATTTAAGCAGTAGATGCGTCTAAATTCTCAATGTTGTGAATTTGACTTTAATTTAAGAAGGAAATTTTTAAAAATTGGGATTCCCATGTGAGACGTTCATTGATATTCCTAGAATTCTCAAACTCATTGTGAAAATTAAACATTGCATTAAATTTAATTTTCAATGGATTAAAAATTTTCCTGAATTAGCAAAATTTTCAAAAATTTTCATTGGACCTGAAAATTGAAATTCCACGTGAATGTTCCACAGTAATAAATGTCAACATTAATTCTCTAACAATGCACATTTCTCATCCCCAATCAGCTGAAATTAATTCCGCAAATTTTCCCTTTAATTCAGTATTTTCCCCCTCCCAAGGCCTCCACCAATCTCTCAAGAGAATACGTCCTTCTTGTCGATTGAGGGAAATATAAAACCCATCGCTCAAAGACATTACACTCAGTGACATAATTAAATAATTAAATAATTATCAACTATACTGTTCAATAACAAAAAGAGGGGATGAACTTAGATAGTAAGAGTCTCTGTGTACAAAAAAACCAGGATTTACAACAGCTCCGCTCTCAAAATTGTAAAATAGAAATATAATAATTTTTATCACATACAAAAAGCAGTTATTATTATATGTACATATTTTTTTAAAAAACCCAATATCAGCAATAAGTTGATTGATGGAAAATTTAACTCGATAATCATCGAACAATGAATTTCAATAAATTCTTTTCGTTTAATATTGAAAATAAAACTTCAATTCACAATGATGGCTTTTCTGGGATGTCATGTGGGATAGTCGTTGATTAAATGTCTCTGAATTCATTAAATTGTCCACGTACACACGCGATTGTCACACTTCTATCTACTCGAGTGACATTTTTTATTCGGTCTTATTTAATATCTATATAACATACGTTATTACGAGTAATGGAGCTGTGATCAGTTCAAAATAATTGACTCATTACTCCATAAAAACGACAATTTGTCCGTCGAATTTCCCCAATCCAACGATTCCCAAATTTCTCGTTATTCTCGAGTGACGAGTTATAATTAATTCATTGAAAATACAAATGTCTTGGGGTTTTAGAAGAGACCACAGCTCCAATACGATGGCTCGTATCTTACAGCGATACAACTATTGAATTCTCGTAAATCAAATGGAATAAAGAGAAGAAAAATGCTCAAGATTCAATGCTACTCGATAAATTGTGAATGTTAATTTCAATTTCAAGATGTCAACAAAACGAAATATCCAAATGTGCCGGTGCAATCGTCGTCAGGACAATTGACAAACCAAAAAACCCCTGAGGACGATAGAAACTACTTCCAAAGTACAAAACAAGGGCCTGAATTATCTCCAAAATTGCCGAAGTGAAATGTACTTCAATCATTGCCATTTGTAATTCGAAACTACCCCCAGCATTCCATGAAATTAATTCACCACATCTCTTTATTCCCTCCAATTTCCAGAATTATATATTCCAGTAAAATTCACAGTATCTTCCATGCATCAATGGATCACCTCTACCCCAAAAAAAAAAACTCATAAAATTTCTCATCTCAGTGCACGGTAATTATCCGGGATCCGTCCATGGTCGCATCATAAAAACGTACAATAAACGTTTTACAATTCTAAATACATTAAACATTACACTTCGATTATCTGAAAAATCTTACGAATTAACGTAAATTTACAATGAACGAGGGGTGACTCGAGGGAATTATTTTTCTCCTATAAAAATTTTCTCACGTCGGGTGCTGGTGCAAAAGGAAAGGCACAACATTTCAGTATATCTGCTTCCATCATTTAAAAAAAAGTGTGAGGAAAAAAAACCTGTGGGAAGCTAATTCCTACGAAAAAAAAAAATGCGCATGACAAAATATCACTCGAGATGTTAGTGATTAAGTACAAAAATCTTGCGTTGCACGATTCATAAACAGAAAAATGTCACTCACTTCTGGTCTCAGTGCTCACTTAATCCTCTCGTTATTTTTATTTCACATAACATTATGTTCAAATTTACATAGATAATAATTACGAAAAAAAAACGCATTATGGTACTTAATTTGCTGTATTCTCTCGACATTAGACTGGATCCCAATAATCACAATTAACTATACATATTTATGACTTGAATTGTTCATCTTTCAACAATTTAATCGTCGATGAGATGGCCATAAATTATCCATTCGTCATTGCTAATCATCTCAGTTGGAAATTAAAGAAGAAAATTAATGAGAGACAGATGTGACAAATGATGAGTCCGGTGTAAATTCTGTACAATTATTTCTTATAGCTTCCTTTTTTTCTATATTAATCCGGTAAATTCATTCAATCGTCACTGTTTCTTTATCTAAATATCTGTTGACGATTTTAATCGTGAGAGCGGAATAACCGTGAGTTCAAGTGTACCATTCATTATGGATCCTGATTTGTTGTCTGTGGTGATTCACAATTTTGGGGTGTCTGTACCTGGTGTGACGAGTGAATCTTGTGGACTGGGGATGGGGTCGGCTGCTGCTGCTGCTGCTGAGACTGCTGTGGCTCGGGTTCCTCCTGCATTTGTTGGGTAACTGTCACGTCTGGCTGGGCTGCATAACTGAATAAACGGCTGATTTTATTTTTCATAATTGAGGGGTAACTTGAGGATTTTCCTGAGGGGTTTTTACAGGGTTTGAAATGAGACTGATTGGAATGAGACAATTGCGGCCTTTGGGGAGGGGATATTGACGATTTTAGGAGGTGAATGTCACCTCATTTTCGGGAGAGGGACAGTGGACTCGATTTGAGGAAGAGCAAATGATGAAATTTCAGAATAAGGGTCATGGGGGTCAAACTAAGGGTCACAGAGTTAGATTAATGGTCATGAGGGTCAGAATGAGGGTCACGAGGGTAAGAATAAGGCTCATAAGGGCCAGAATGAGGGTCACGAGGTTCAGAATCAGGTTCATGAGGGTCATAAGGGTCAGAATGAGGGTTATGAGGTTTAAAATCAAGGACATGAGGGTCATAAGGGTCAAAATGAGGGTTATGAGGTTTAAAATCAAGGTCATGAGGTTCAGAAACAGCTTCATGAGGGTCAGAATGAGGGTTACGAGGTTTAAAATCAAGGTCATGAGGGTCAGAATGAGGGTTATGAGGTTTAAAATCAAGGTCATGAGGGTCATAAGGGTCAGAATGAGGGTTATGAGGTTTAAAATCAAGGTCATGAGGGTCAGAATGAGGGTTATGAGGTTTAAAATCAAGGTCATGAGGGTCAGAATGAGGGTTATGAGGTTTAAAATCAAGGACGAGGGTCATAAGGGTCACGAGGTTCAGAATCAGGTTTATGAGGGTCAGAATGAGGGTTACGAGGTTTAAAATCAAGGTCATGAGGATCATAAGGGTCAGAATGAGGGTTACGAGGTTCAGAATCAAGGTCATGAGGGCCCGAATAAGGGCCACGAGGGTCAAATTACGGGTCACAATGGGTATAATGAGGGTCAAAAGGTTCAAAATAAGGACGTTGAGGGTCACATAATAATAATATATAATGCTTACATAGCCTCCTCGACCTCAGGCTCCTCGTCAGGACAAAGTTCAAAGGCCCTCTCCAGCGTTTTCTTCGCCGAATTGCTCCTCTCCAAATAATACCCATTAGTAGACTCATTAGACTGGGTCGGTGGTGACCAATTAGTATAAGCATGACTGTAAGGTGGTGCCGATGTGTACGGCCTCTTCTCGAGTTCGTCCTGGAGCCAGTCAATAGCGTGGAGCCACTTCCTCTTCATCTCGGGATTCTGATAGAGCAACTGATGGGCTGGCCGACACTTGCTGAACAGCTGAACCATGCATTTAATGCACTGATACGCCCTCTTCTGGTAATGATTTTTGCTCCTCTGAATGGTCTCGAAGAGGCCCTCCCTCTCGTCAGGCACCCCCTTGAGGGCATTGTGGACTCTGTGTGTCTGCCACGAGTCCTCCATTAGGAGCATCGCCAGCAGCAGATCCGTGTGGTGTCGGAGCTCGTGGGTGTAGGCGAAGCCAATCTGCCACAGCAATTCACTCAAGATAGTCCTGGACAGGTGGGGATTCTCCCAGCAGCAGTACTGCAGCAATTTGACAGTGTCCTCGGTGATGTTGGCGTCCTCGATGAGCTTCTTCATGTAGCTGGTCCTCGTGAAGAGTATCTCAGCTGCTTGTGGCTGAATAGCCATGAGGTAGTCGTTCTGGCACTGGGGGTCACCGTAGGGATTCGGCAGAACAGCCATTCCCGAGGGTGCGTGACTCGACTGACACCTGGAGGATACGTCACAGCACCTTATCAGCATGCTGACGACCTGGTGGAGCTTCGTGAGCTCGGGATACTGATACTTAATGGTCGGCCCTGGGCCCTCGTCGATGGCAACCAGCATGAACGTCACTGGGACGTTGAGCTTCAGCAGCTGCTGCTTCTCAGGGAGTCCCAGTGTCGCGTAGGAATGGAACAGTGAGAAGTAGTGGGGCAGGTGTCTACCGTGATCGGATATCTCTCGATGGAGAAGGGAGAGAACGGCGTGGAGCAGGTGATCGCTTAGTGTTGCCGTTGGATCCAGGAGGATCGAGGGGGCATTGAGGCTTGGGGGTGCGCAGGGGCCGTCCTGGAGGGAGAAGTGGGCGAGGAACACCAGGATCTTGAGAAATGCCGAGCGTACCTCGGTGCTGGGACAGCTCAGGAGGTACTCGCAGAACCTGTGGGGATGATTGAAGAGGACATTGTGGGCGAACCACGAGCGAACGGCTTTGCTGTTCCTCAGGTGGTGGCAGAGAATGTCGTACCAGTCCATGGCTGTCCCCCTGAGGGTCTTCTTCGTGTGGAAACCAGTGTAGAATAAAAATCTCGAGGCAAGCTGCACCGACAGCATCGCCAGCTCCTCCGCCTCTGGACTCAGCTTGTCATTGAGATTTTGCCTAGTCGTGTGAGGTGGATTGCAGGAGACCAACTTCCTGATAAACTGAAAATACTCGGGGCTAAATTGATTTCTGTTGTGCATAAACTTGATGTTCTGCTTTCTGACGCTGTGCTCGATAGCCGGTGGCATCTTCATCACCCCGAGTTTAGTGTACAACGACAGCTCATTGACACTCTTCATCAGGGAGTTCTCCTCGACGTCCAGACGAGTGTAGAACAGCATGTAGGCGTTCCACCATCGCTTCTGACGCCTGAAGTTCATTCGTTTCAACATCTGATCGAACACCTCACCCATGTAGTCCCCACCGAAGCACTGGGACTTCATCTCCTCCTCCTCCTCCATCTTACACTCAGTCACATCCCCATCGTCGAACTTGTACCACTTGGCAGTGCCGTCATTCTGCCTGTGAAGAATGTACGAGTAGTAGTGTCCACCACTGGCTTGACCACTGTGAACAACAATTCCACTCAACTGATACTTTGTACACGTGCCCTTGTTAACTTCCTCGTAATCACAGTCTATGACCTCTCCCTCGAGTTTAGCGAGCCCATTGACGGTGTAGGGCTCCATATCGAGGTCCCTCGGGAACTCGAAGTAGTCGTTAAACTTAATAGCGCAAACACGTTCAAAATCGTATTCAAATCGTTTCAACTGTATAGCAAGAATGGGGGGCAATTTTTTAACACACAAACGCTTGACAGTGACTACTTTTTTGTTGCACTTGTCGCAGTGATAGGCGTCAGCCCCCTCCAGGAGTTCTCCCTTGACATACTGCTCCAACGAGTCGAGGAGATTGCTGTGATTCCTGATGTCGACACTGATGACACTGAAGGGCTCCTCCTTGGAGTACCTGTGAGGGCAGCCCTTGCAGATCTTCTGATCGCTGTAGGAGCCCCCGAGGATTTTCCCCATTATCTGCTCGTGCCCCAGGGCCTTGAGTGCCTCGTCGAGGCTCTCCACGAGACTCATGAAGAACTCCACAGCGTCCTGCTGCTCCCTGAGGTTGACGGGCTCCCCCTGGAGCTTGAAGTGCTTCCACAGACCCCTAGGGATGTAGTACTGCAGCTTGCTGTAGGCCAAATGCCCGAAGATGGCCTGGACCTGCTTGAGAATACCGATGTTGTACTCTTTTCTTGACTCGTCGACTCCGCACTTCTCCTCGTTGCTGTCGTTGTCACTCGCCTCGATCGTCTGCTCACCCTCGATCCTCTCCTCACCGGAGAAGTCCTCGTTCAGATCGGTGGCCGCACCCTCCGCCATCAGCAGGCCCACCCTGATGCTCTCCACCATGTACAGCTGTTGGAGAACAGAGTTCATGTAGCAAGTGGCGCCGGCGTTCTTCAGCCCCACGAAACCCTTCAGCGGTCTTGGACCCACTGGTGGCAGGTAGTCCCACTCGATCAGGGGCTCGTCACGATCCGAATAGAACATGTCAGTGAGCATTGTGACTAGAAGTTTCATGTTGGGAACACATCCCACGCACAATCCCACCAGCAGATCGAATGCAGCACTCGTCGACTGAGGGGTTGTGCAGACTGGGCTTGCCTGGGTCGAGCTGAGCTCACCGGTGCTCCTCAGCTGGAGCATGAGCCTCGACGCCGGGAAGATGAAGTCCTCGACGAGCTCCTTGATGAGATTGTCACCGCGTTTTTCGTCACAACCGAGCTGGTACTTTTTCGATGGTGGAAGGAACGCCAGGAGCTCCTTGGTGAGGCTCAGGTGGCCCTCCAGGAGGGCCTCGTCGATTGCCACCTCCCCAGACTCCTTCACAGCCTCTTTCACCTTCTTCAGCCAGGCAACCTCGACCTCCAGGAGGGCCTCAGCCGACAGCAGAGGACACCCCGATATGTGGGCACAACTGAGAAGCCTGCAGAGCAGCTGAAAGTACTCGTGACTCTGCCTGGCATTCTCGATGACAGTCGTGTTGAGAACGTCCGACAGCAGGAGAATGGTATTCTGAAAGGACAGATGATTGGAGTTGCACCAGGTGAATATGAGTAGAAACTGCTCGGCAGCGGCGATCCTGATGGCCCTGGAGGGGCTCCCCAGAACGAGATCAGTGAGAAATGTGGGCCAGAGCTTCTCCTTCGTGAGGGAGGAGAGCGCCGAGGGGTTGAGCACGAGAGCAATCGTGAGGACCTCCAGTGCCTCCTTGCAGACAAGCACATCATTGGGGTCTGGTGCCTTCTGCTCTCGCTGATTGGCCTCGTGCATGGCGTGCAGTGTCTCCACACTCCCATCCGCGTGATTCAAATTCCCCGAGGAGGCAGCCCAGGCCAGTTTAATTATGGCACGAATGGTCGCCATGTCCGGCAACTCCCAGGAGAGCCCTTGGATGAACAGCTGACGGCAGCGATCTGACTCTGTCCCCCCAGAGAGCATCTGGCTCGCAAGGTGCTGCGCCAATTTCGTGGCAACACTCCTCAGCATGTACTCGGTGTTCTGATTGGGCACGGTGTGCAGTGCCTGCTTCAGAATAGCCACTAAATTACGATTATTCTGAAAATACGTGTCATGATTCTCCGGTATCGTCGCCTGCTGCACCTCGTCCATGACGCAGCCCATCAAATTCCCAATGACAGTCAGCAGGAGTTTGCAGAGTTTGAGAACAGTGAGATAAGCCGATCGTTTGGTGGTCTCGTCAGCATTCGGTAGGAACTTGTTCTTCGTCAGCATCTCGAGAATGACCCCGGCCTCGCCACTCTTGATGAAATTCAGTTGGAACTCGAAGGCCTTCTCCGAGAGGGGGTCCAGTGCGGGCATCAGGAGAGTGTACAGCACCTCGAGATTGTAGAGCACTTGGCTGGCAGACGCAGCGAAGAATAGGGTATTGACAGTGGTGTTCTGCTCGTTGCAGTGGGGATTGAGGGACATCTCGTCGTTCTTGTAGTGGCCGAAGAGCCACTGGAGCCTGAGGACAGTGAGGGCGTCGGGGGGGACAAGCTGCAGGAGATTGCGAGCCCCATCGCGGAGGCTCGAGTGCTTGAGGGAGCAGCCGAGGTCTGACAGCTGAAAGAAGAAGGTGGCGTGCTGGGCGCGCTGGGACATTACAACCCCTGGCAGACTGTTCTCAGCCTCTAGATTGGGTCCATCGTACGGGTGATGTGGCGAGCTCGTCGACGAGTCAGAGCTGCTGTCCGGTGAGCTAGGCATGTTGCTGTTGATCTGTGACAACTTGGCTGACAGCAGCATCTTGTCCCTCAGGGGAATCTGCGAGAGGAGTTTCCTGTCGTCCGCCTGCTCCAGGGACTCCCCGTTGATGAATAAATCTAGCTTGACGTTGGTGCCACTGGCCTTGATCCTCCGGAGGATCTGGCGCCTCAGCGAGGCCAGGGTGTCGTTGCTGTGGGTGTAGACCTCAATGTCGTCGATGCTCCGACCTGGATTCACAAAGCGAATCACCAGGGACATGTGCTTTCCACGTGCAGCTCGATGCAGTGGCAGGATCTTCCTCTCCCCAGGGAAGGCAGTGTCACACTCGTTGATGTACTCCTGCAGGACCTTCATCACACGACACATCTTCAGTGCCTCGTTCTTAATCTTGTTTGAGACCTGCTCGTCGGTCTCCTCCTTCCCATCAGCTGGCACATCACTCAGAACTGTCACTGTGTCGTAGTGGGCTCGAAGTCTGTCCATGCACTCAGCAATGTAGGTCTCGTGAAATGCCAGGACAGACAGCTGCAGTCGTGGCCCCAAATTAGTGTTGACTTCCTTCAGCAGCTCGATCCCACGATTGGCTATTTCCTCGGGGCTGTTGGTGACCACTCGCCAGAGGTAGTCAGTGCCAATGAGGTCGACGTCGTCCATCAGAAATGTTCGTCTCTTCAGCCTCAGCTTTCCCTCCTTAGAGTTGACAGCCTTGAAGAAACGCTCGTAACACTTAATCCCACTTTCAGTGAGGAGTGTGGGGTCCAGCTGGAGGATGTTGTTCTCGAAGAAGTCCTTGTTGATCGCTGGGTCGAGGTCTGGCTCCTCCCCCATGAGCTTGGAGAACCACTTGAAGCAGGCTTCCCTGTCGGAGACGAAGACAGCCTGATCGGCTAGGCACTGCCAGATCTGCTTTGCCTGCTCGGCGCACAGCCACAGCTGGCCGTCCTTCAGGAGAAATCTCAGGAAGTTGAGTCTCTCCTGCACCTGCATCACGTGGTTGTAGCGAGCGTCGGGCATGAAGGTCGTGGCGTCGATGTCTGGGGTCTCCTTGACGAGAGCCCTGACCTTGTCCATGTAATTTGTCAAACTATTCGTCACCAGAATGACAACACTGTGCTGATTCTGCAGACGCTCTATCACCTCTTGTCTGTAGTAGGCCTGGTGGCTCCTCTGGCTGTTGCCAATCAGTGGATTAGGCTCGTAGAGACAGCAAATCTCTCGGATCTGCTTCAGCGCTGGGAGCGCCCACTTGTCCCCACTCTTTAGCTCCTCAACGCACTTGTCAAGCCAGACTGTCTTCTGGGCGTCCCTGTCCTGCGAGCAGGAGTAGTCCAGGATCTTCACGTGGGCATTGAGCGCCTGGTCCATTATCTCCGTGGGCACTTCGTCTGAGTGCGCCAGATTCCAGAAGAGAGTCAGCACTTTGTGGGCCATAACACCGTCCTTGTCGTCCTCGGCGAGCCTTCGGATCAGCTCCAGAAGCTTTTCCCTCTGTTTCTTGTTGGCTGTCTTCCAGCTCATCTGGAAGCACTCGAACAAGTGGTCCAGCTGCTCGGGGCTGAAGTCCCAGGCGACCTTGGCCAACAAGTCGTGGACATTCTTGACGATTGCCTCGTGCTTGCCAGCCTGCGCTGCCCACACGGCGTCCAGGTCCTCCAGGGTGAGGGCTCGCTCCTTAATTATGAAACGAAGAATCTTCTCCAACTTCTCCACGTACTGGGGCTGGTGCAGCGAGTCTCGCAGGACTATCTCAAGAACTCCATTGTCCTTTATCCACTTGGCCATTCTCTCAGCTGTCAACCACTCCTCGTCCTCGAGGGCAGGATTCCGATGTGGATAGTAGCTCACACTCGTTATGACTTTATTAACTTCGTTGAGTGCATTCATTTTACCGTTGAACGAGGATATCTGCAGCAGTCGCAGTATCATTTTCAGTCTCAATATTTCAAGATTCTTGATCATTGCCTCCTGCATGGGGACACGTGACACCAGACACTTCATGGCTTTTATAATGGCCGATATGGCATCGTTTTTGGATTCATTCTTAGCTTCCTTCTTCAGCTCGTCGTCTGTGAGATTGTCCAGGATAACTGGCACCATTTCGATAATTGGCATTAGGTATTTGACTATCGTGTGAACAGTGAGGAGCTCGTAGCAGAGGCCAAAGGGTCGCAGTAGTGCGTGAATAACGGGTATCGTGAGGTTTCGATTGCTCTGGAATCGTGTGAGGAGGATTACGAAGCCGTCGAGACATCCAAATTTGTTGATGAGATCGACCAGCCAGCCTCGGGGGCTTCGGGGGTCTGGGGGTGGGCGGGCGAAGAGCTCCTCGTCTGGGATGTTGCTGCCTGGGGGAACTGTGGCTGATGTTCTTGCTGCGTTGAATGTGTGGAATTTGTTGTTTGGGTTGAAGACCATCGCCAGGAGGTCCAGCAGGGGGAACCAGTCCTCGTCCAACTTGCGGACGCAGAGCTCGACCAGTCTGTCGCAGTTGGCGTTTATGCAGCTGTGGATGTGGGGCTTCCAACTGTTGACGGCGTCGTCGGTGAGGATTTTTGTGAAGGATATTGTCAGGCCCTCGCGAAAAAAACGCTGGCAGGCCTCGCTGTGCACGTCTATTCCTCGCTTGCAGAGGTCTATGCTGGCGTCCAGGAGGCAGCGGAGCTCCTGGTCCGGGAGCACTGGCACCACCCAGCGGGAGGAGGTGATCTTCTCGTCGAGGGTCGCCAGCTTCGCGTGGGGAAAGTCCGGCTCCACGCGCGCCCGGCTGTTCTCGTCCAGGGAGGTGTCATTCTGACAGTCCGGCTGGTGAGACGTCGGCTCCGTCAGCTGGAGGCCCGATATCGCGTCCGCCAGGTGCTGGGGACCTTGCGGACTGTGCATCTGAAAGGAGATTGGCTTTAGGGAGTGGGGAGGCCGTTTGGGGGTGAATCGATGGTCATTTTTTTTTATTGTTCAGGGGATTATTGAACGATGTCAAAGTTTTTAGCCATTCTTTGATCGAATTGTTAACTGGAATTTGATTTATGGGGAATTTGAATTTAAGAATCTTGGTGAAATAGATATGAAAATATATATTTTAATAGATTAAAAAAAATGAAAATAAAATTTGAGCATTGATTTCAATTTGATTTGAGGTGAATTTGAATTTAAGAATCTTGGTGAAATAGATATGAAAATATCTATTTTAATAGATTTAAAGAAATGAAAATAAAATTGGAGAATTGATTGCAATTTGATTTGAGGTGAATTTGAATTTAAGAATCTTGGTGAAATAGATATGAAAATATCTATTTTAATAGATTTAAAGAAATGAAAATAAAATTGGAGAATTGATTGCAATTTGATTTGAGGTGAATTTGAATTTAAGAATCTTGGTGAAATAGATATGAAAATATCTATTTTAATAGATTTAAAGAAATGAAAATAAAATTGGAGAATTGATTGCAATTTGATTTGAGGTGAATTTGAATTTAAGAATCTTGGTGAAATAGATATGAAAATATCTATTTTAATAGATTTAAAGAAATGAAAATAAAATTGGAGAATTGATTGCAATTTGATTTGAGGTGAATTTGAATTTAAGAATCTTGGTGAAATAGATATGAAAATATCTATTTTAATAGATTTAAAGAAATGAAAATAAAATTGGAGAATTGATTGCAATTTGATTTGAGGTGAATTTGAATTTAAGAATCTTGGTGAAATAGATATGAAAATATCTATTTTAATAGATTTAAAGAAATGAAAATAAAATTTGAGAATTGATTTCAATTTGATTTGAGGTGAATTTGAATTTAAGAATCTTGGTGAAATAGATATGAAAATACTTATTTTAATAGATTAAAAAAAATGAAAATAAAATTGGAGAATTGATTTCAATTTGATTTGAGGTGAATTTGAATTTAAGAATCTTGGTGAAATAGATATGAAAATATCTATTTTAATAGATTAAAAAAAATGAAAATAAAATTTTAAAATTAATTTGAATCTGATTCAAGATCACATCGTTCATGGAATTTATTATTCGGGTTGGAAACTCAGGGAAATTGGGTTTGACATCAGGAATTTTCAAACTCACTGCGGAAATTAAACGTCAGGTTTCAGTGAATTTTGAATGGGCTGGAAAATCAGGAATAGATGCCTGAATTTTCAGGGAATAATTGAACGAATTCAATGTTTTTTATCCATTCTTTGATCGAATTGTGAATTTTATTGAAAGTTATTATTAAAAAATTTATTCAGAGGACATTAATGACTTTAAATAATTCATTTTTACCCCGACTTTAAAATGACTTTAAAATGAGACTTGATGTATCCCAATCTCACAATTTATTCAGGTGACATTAATCACTTTAAAAAATGCATTTTTGGACTCTTTTTGGGTAAAAGTGTCCTCCCCCTCTCTCCACCTCAAAAAATACATAAAAATAATTTCCAACGCTTGAAATTCCCTCCGAAAACCTCTCCCATTCCAAACATCCACCTCTCACATTAAAAAAAAATTAAAAAACTATTAGGGGACGGTGGGATAAAATGGACACTAGACTTTTTTTAAATTGTTCATAACTCCGAAACAAATTTATCAATTGAGCTGAGTTTAGGCTCGTTACAAAGGGAAAGAATCGTTCTTTGTATTGAAAAAAAAAACTATTAAATTTCATCAACATTTCAACCGCCCATTAAGATTAAAACAAAGTCAAGTGTCCGTGTTACCTCAACCTCCCCTAAAATAATTGAAATGCTCATACCTGTGTCGTTTGCTGATTCTCAGGTGGATCAATTCCGACCCCCTGACCCCTCGTAGCAATAGTCATTCCGTCAAAAACCACCCAATTATTCCCCCAACTAAGCTCAGAGTTATCGATATCTCAAGCAAAATGTGAAATAACAATTCATCGACATTCACAATCATTCACTGACATTAAATACAAACGTTAACGTAACGTCTTGGAGGCCTTTATACTTCACTCAATTAAAAAACCAGTGTCTACATTATCTGAAACCAGAAACAAAAACGAATATCAATAAACCAAGAAATCCGTGCCATCGCTGCGTAAAATCCACGATTTTCCCGATTAAATATTAATGGACGCCCAAATTAAATTAAAGCACTGCCATCCCCTCGTCGCCCTTCCCCGAGGCCCCAAAAATTCCCAAAAATATTCCCCCGCGGCGGCAAAGAGGTGCAGACGACTGGCAAAATCCCCCCAAAATCATCGAATGAACTGTTAACAAACTAAAAAAAAAGATGACAAAGACAATGACTCGGACGTTCTCGACGTCCCAATGAATAAACAAAGAGTCGGAGTCGAAAAAAAAATGTGTCAATGGTTTTCCACGGGCTGGAGTGTATTCCCCATTGGGCAAGGGTCACAAGGGTCTGGCAGACCGACGGTAAAAAATACAAACGACGTAGTGCTGCGAGACAATAGACACAAATCCACTTTTTCGTGTGGCAATATCACTCCCAGCGAATGGACCTCCCCTCGATAACCCCTCGTAAATGAGAAACCCAAAAATTTGTTATGGTGAAAAAAATAATAATAATGAGGTGAGACCGGCCGCTGGATGGTACCCATGCGTCGTCAACGATCTTTGGGCGAGGGTTGCACCTAATTTTTCGCCCCGTTCGTCCAACCGGGCCTCCGTCGGACAAAATGGCGACCCACCTAACGATTAGCACTGCCAATACGAAACTATGCGGATATTTTGATTGTATATTACCCGGAGGGACACTATTGCCGGGTCCTGGGGGGCACGAGGGCACGAGTGAGCCGGGGAAGGCGGCGGAAAAATTTGTTAATCGAGGGTGAACGCACCTTTTACATAGTAAAATCGTGAAATTGGAAAGAAATTTTTGTTGCAGTTTTTTGACGTGACGTTACGGAACTCACTGCCAATCTGTAAACACGACTGGGAGGGCGCTGGGGGTCGGTGAGGGTCGGGAGGACTGCTGCCACTCCGCGGGGAGGGACTGCAGCTGGCGACACCGACGGGGGTATTATCCGGGGAGGGACTCTTTTATCGACTTCTTTTGAATTTTTCGAGTTTGTAACCGCTCGATAATTTTCATCAATTAATTTCTGGAGCAATATGGACAATCAACTTTTCAGCAATATGCAGATGGTTTCATTTGCCACGACATCAAAAATTGTCTCCAAAGGTTTTCCATTCCTTTTCAATAAAAAAAATGATTTTCCACGAATTTCTCCTTCGTAATACTATAGAAATTTGTACATGTGAAATAACATATTGATTCAAATCAACTTACAATAATAAAGTGATAAATCATATAAAATCCTCGTTAAAAAAAATGAAGAAGAGAATAGTGGAATAAAAATTTAAAAGAAGAGAATCCATTCGGAAGCAAATTGCCAATTTATTAGCAACAATCACTCATTCAGCAACAGTTGGCTTTTCCCTGAAAAAAATTATCTCATTGTAAAAAAAATTGCGGCCAGCAAGAATGTAATTGGATGAAGGAATGACATCACTCAATAGACTGTATAGCAATGAATTTTATTACCTCCGTATCATGTCCGATTTTATCGTCAAATTCGTATTTTAGTCTCTCCATAATCCTCCCACTTTACCCCATAAACATAAAATTATGTCTCCAAAGGTTTTCCATTCCTTTTCAATAAAAAAAATGATTTTCCACGAATTTCTCCTTCGTAATACTATAGAAATTTGTACATGTGAAATAACATATTGATTCAAATCAACTTACAATAATAAAGTGATAAATCATATAAAATCCTCGTTAAAAAAAATGAAGAAGAGAATAGTGGAATAAAAATTTGAAAGAAGAGAATCCATTCGGAAGCAAATTGCCAATTTATTAGCAACAATCACTCATTCAGCAACAGTTGGCTTTTCCCTGAAAAAAATTATCTCATTGAAAAAAAAATTGCGGCCAGCAAGAATGTAATTGGATGAAGGAATGACATCACTCAATAGACTGTATAGCAATGAATTTTATTACCTCCGTATCATGTCCGATTTTATCGTCAAATTCGTATTTTAGTCTCTCCATAATCCTCCCACTTTACCCCATAAACACGTACTTTCTAAACATATGCAATAAGAACAGTTGATTCCCCCCCAAGTTGCATATTTATATCCTCGTTTTTTCCATTTATTTCTCGTCGATACAGAAATCATTGTAGCGATTGTTAATACAAACATAAGAAAGACCCGTAATTGGCGTTTCATTTTGCGGGTGTTCCAGTGAGATTTAGTCAGCATCACTCGAATTTCTCTTAACATTTATTTCAATTTATCATCTCGTCCGTTGAATCACGAAAAAGAAGAGTCAATTCAACATCTCTCAGACAATTCGCAAAAACATATTTTCTTTCACACGTGATTATCATAAAGTGGCATTGCGAATGCGATTCTTACCGTCATTTAAATATTAGTGCAACATTTTTTGCTATGTTACAAAGCTAAATTAAGGAATTACAGTTTGATAAGTCGGACACTAATTAACAAGTGCCAAAATTCATTTTCTGTACATTATACATACATATTTAACTATTCCTCAAAAATTTATCATTACTCTTCATCATTTTGTTTGTTTAAAACAGCCAAGGGGATTGACAGTCTTAAATGAGGCTCGTGGAGTACAATTAACGAGGAAAATTACGAGTGCGAAAAAAATCCAGCAATTCGTTGTAAAAAAATCACCTGAAGTTAATTAAAATTTCAATAAATTTAGCCTTCAATAATTTCCATAATTTTCCTCGTTCCCTTGTCCCCAAAAAATAATAATCGTATTCGCAATGCATTCCAGTAAACGTCATTTTGTTTTTCCACTTTATTCAAACCCTGAAGAGACAGAATAAGGACACAAATTAAATAACATCACGCACACTGAATCAAAAATCATCGAAATTTCATTTTCCCTTTGTTTCATTGAACGTGAAAAATTACTCGCACATTAGTAACTGATGATAATTAATTTCTCAGAGGGATGTGTCCTCTCTTAGACCTTATCGAATTGAAAAAAATCAATCTCTGAATTGAAACATTTTATTGTAATTTATTAACCAGATAAACGTATAACTTGTCGTCATGTCACTAACTAATAAGACAGATAAAATTCTGAGGCTGTTTATTATTTTGTCGGGGGGTGGAGAGCAAGGATTAATCTCTAATCTAATCAAGAGAAAAAAACTCATTCCTCAATTACCTAAACGTCTGGAATTGAAGCGAAAAATCGCTCTGTCCAGCAGTCGATTGCCCAAAAGCTGTCCCCGAAGGCGTAAAAAATTTCGAACAATTATTTTCATCAATCATTTAATTCGAGTCAAGTGTCCGGAAGAGTCTCCGACACCCGCGAACTTCAGTCTTGAAAATAAAAAGTAAAAAGTATCAAAACGTAAATAAAATGTCCAAGAACTGGCTCTACCAGTCCCCTCCACCAAGAACCGATGACAGAGCCTCACTCCCACCCCCAAAACCCAAACTATCGTTCCCCAGTCCTCTGCATTTCCCCTAAATCCTTAAATTATCCTAGACCCCTCAACTTCTCCACTCGACTAATCGTGTGAGTCTGATTTCTCACGTAAAAATCAAGATAACCCGAGTGTAGGTGATATTATCGTAGAGCATTATGAAAAAGAATGTCATATATCAATTAATTACCACTGTCCCCAGAAATGCCGACAGTTTTCCCCCAAAAAATCACTTATCAAACGAAATTCCCGTCATTCAATTAAAAAACTGGGCTTTTAATTAGTTTTTTGTGCGGCAGCGTGTCGAAGGCACTGGCACCTTCACCCACTCCCTCACCACCTGATCCCATCCCCAAGAACTCGTCATTAATGTACTCAAATCATGATTTATTTCCTCCAAATTTCTCCTCAATCGAGCATTTTCAAAGTATTCAGACAGTAACATAAATTCTTAGGCGAGCAAAACGATCACATCGTGTATTACAATGAAATTTTGCCTCTCTTCCCCATCCACTGGCTCTCAAAAATCTCTCGCACATGCAATCTCACACTCAGGCTTTAAAATTTAAAAACTAAACTCACCCCCTCCCCCCAATCCTGTCCCCTGGACACGTATCGATGACGTGAAAAATGTTCAGTTGTCGTCAAACACGACTGGCAGTTGCATGAAGTGAAAAGTTTATGGTCGTTATCCCATTTCTCTCGCTGATGTCAAATATTTTTCCCTTCTTGGCCCTCCGTGTGCAATCAACAAATACCATTCCACTCATTCCTCTGTCTCTCTCTCTCTCTCTTTCTCTCATTCTCCTATACTCGTGTGACCGTTGTTCATATATTTTGTTAAACTTCCGCTCAATGAAACCAACAACACGACGGTATCTTTCTGTAAATACTAGCATTTATTATTTAATAGTATTATTATNCCCCCCCCCCCCCCAATCCTGTCCCCTGGACACGTATCGATGACGTGAAAAATGTTCAGTTGTCGTCAAACACGACTGGCAGTTGCATGAAGTGAAAAGTTTATGGTCGTTATCCCATTTCTCTCGCTGATGTCAAATATTTTTCCCTTCTTGGCCCTCCGTGTGCAATCAACAAATACCATTCCACTCATTCCTCTGTCTCTCTCTCTCTCTCTTTCTCTCATTCTCCTATACTCGTGTGACCGTTGTTCATATATTTTGTTAAACTTCCGCTCAATGAAACCAACAACACGACGGTATCTTTCTGTAAATACTAGCATTTATTATTTAATAGTATTATTATTAAGATTATTATCAGTAATCATTATTTGTTTTTTTTCTCTATCCATTCGAATAGCTGTTTTTGTATCATTCAAGTATTATAATTGATGCTTCAACTGCAATTGAAAGCAGGAAAATATACAATTGTACCCCTGACATTGAGTTTTATCGTAATTTCATGAGTCCTCGGTAAACACAATCCGTTTTTTTTTAAATTCAAATTGAGAAAATTTGCTAAGACACGAGGAGACGATTTTTCATCATTCATTTATTGGAAAAAATTGGGGTCTCCTCAGTGCTGCGTTAAAGCGGTGTACAGTTTACATTTGACAGCGATTGTGACTTATCATTTAATTTACCATTTTTTTTTCGAGGGTTTTTTTTTTTCATTACTTTTAATGCTCTAGTGAGCGGAAAAATCAGTGTTCGTGTGACACGAATTCTCATGTATCAAAATGTCGTAGTCCAGTGGTTTATTTATTTTTATATCAATCGAATTCTCAATCTCGAATTGGAATTAACGATTTCAGGAGCATTTTAACGTGCTTCAACGCCTGAAAATCGTATAACTGATTTTTTTCCCCTTCTTTTATATCAGTCGAGCAGGGAGAATATCGATATTTCATATCATTTGCCTTTCCCTCATTATTACTCCCATTAAACGTGAATTCTACACCTACAGAGGGCGAAATATTTACTTAAAATTAAAAAAAAATGTTGCACGCTTCAAACGTTTTTTGCATCAAACTACTTCACCTAGAGTTTCATAGAACATTTTTTTTCAATCGTTCAGAGCTAGTGTGCAACGAAAATCAATGTTTTTAACTAGTCATTGTTCATTGTGTTTGTGGTTTAACCGGTTGACATTATCAGGATTGAAATCGTTGATTATTTTGAATTATTTAATCGGTTTGTTGATTCACCTCTTCTTTAGTGTCAATTTCCTGCTGTGTTACACTCGCTTTCGATCCGCCTGACTGATTACCAGACGTTGGATCGGTTATTTTGTCGTTGTGGGAGTCATTCTTGTCTGTTTGATCGATTTTGACGTTACCTAGAATGAAAAAATACAAATTGTCATGAATATTCGTGAATATAGACTTTAATAAGCTCTATTCATTGACAAAAATTAAAATTAAAATTTTCATAACGATTCGGGCAAAATGATGTTTTTCCAAAATGTATGAATGTTGAATTATTTGACAGAACGAAATAATACGCAAACTTTTGATGACAATTCAATTTATGATGGTACTATGACATTAAAAAATAGAAGAGAATAGTGGAATAAGAATTAAAAAAGGGGAATCCATTCGAAGGCAAATAAATTACTAATGTATTGATAACAATAGCTATACTGATTTATTATAAAATGCAATTATCCACTTGTTCCTCTACAACTCTGTGCTACTGACCTTGTCCAGAATAATATTGCTGCTGCATCTTCATGTTCCTCTGCTGCTGATGAATATTAGGTCTGTGACGATTCATCTGATTCTGCTGCTGATTAGGCATGCAATTCTGCTGCTGCTGATTGGGATTATTTGGATTAGGTCCTGGTGGAAACGGCACCACAGGCCTCTGAATTGGGGGTGGATAGCGCTGCTGAGAGGGTTGAATTCCACCCCTTGGTGGCATTCCCATTCCACGAACGTTCTGTTGCATCAACTACTTTTTAATCATTTGTGCTTTCTTCTTAATAACCATAATTCTTGAATTTACGATTTTACAAACACCTGGGGGCCATCCCACGAATATCAAATGGAAATAGCATTCTAATCAATTACTTCCACTTGACTATTCCCTCAATTAAAACTATTTAACAACATTAATTCAATAAAATCAATCATCAAATGTCATTTACGACTTTAAATTCCTCTGAAAAAACTAACTGAATGCAAATATTAATTATCCCCAAATCCAAATTCAAGAATTATTCTCAATAGATTAAAATACTTCAGCAGTTAACATTTTCCGTAGCGTTAAAATGAATAACTTCTCATTGTACTAAAGTTAATAATTTAAAATTCATACTACAATGAGTAATGAAGTATTAATAACCCTCCTTAAAATAAATCTAAAGTAATGAATGAATGATACATACATAGTTACTATAGCTGCTTACCATAGCAGACTGACTGACCCCTTGGTAAGGTGGATATTTATGGTGTTGTGTTGGGCTTGGTTGTGGCTGTTGTGATTGGGACTGTTGTTTACAATTTCTCGATTTTGGTGACGGTATTTGTGGAGCTGTGACATTAAAAATTAATTATAAAATCACTCAAATGAGTAATAAAATCAATTAACGAGAAGAATGGCTCACTCGAACTGAAGACTGATGCAAGAACATCCTGCTGATTGCCCGAGGGGCTCTTCAGCTGTCTCGGTTGCTCCTGCTGCTGATGCTTGCTGAGAAAAGTTGCTGCTGCATTTGCTGGTCCTGGTAGCCCACCAGTGGGATTACGAAATTGCTGGGCAGCAGCAGCAGCTGCTATCTGGAGTCCAGATCCAGATAAAAATTGTGAACTAAAATTCTGAAGGCCAACAGGCGTTGCATTGCCAGGTGTTGCCAGGCTCTGGCTGTGCTGTCCAAAGCCCTGAAGACCATATGGAGTGCCAGTTTGCTGGCCAGCACCACCTGGCTGATAAAAACCAGTCTGCGAGCCTGGAAATACATCTGAAACATTCCAATATATCCCCATGATGTTAATAATTCCTCCATTATAATTGAAAAAAAATATCTCCTTTGTTTTGTAAAAATGAATATTTTTTTTCATCGTGAAAGCAACACAAAACAATTATCAAACACTCAGAGGTTTTTGCACGTTATCAACTAATATGAGGTTCTGATTGTGCGACAACGACAGTATTAATTGCACTGTTAGTCACTTCACTACAATGACTACAATTGTGGGAATTATTTAAACTAAGAAATGTTATAAGTTAGGAAAGTAGATCGGACAAGCTTACACAGAGAGATATTAGTTTTACCGGCGGACGTGGCGCTATAATAGCTATTTGCCGATGGTTGTACACTTGGTCCTTGACGCTGTACTAGCTGGGAATTACCCATGTAGTTTCCACTTACGCCGAGTACTTGACTTGGATCGTATGGTATATAAGCCAACTGTAAAAAGAGAATATCATAATTAACAAATGGACATTTGCATTATTTACTAAATGAGTATTGTTGTTAACAAATTAGTAATTTGTTTCCGAATGGCTTCTCTTTTTTTAAAATTCTTGTTTCACTATTCTTTTTTATTTTTTCATGTCATAGTATTATTATCAATTGAAATGTCATCGAAATTTAGCGAATTATTTCATTCTGTCAAATTATTCTACATTCAGATTCTCTCAGGACTAGAATTCGTTTACACTCCGCGTTTAATTAACCCTTAAAAAGTTTCTAACACAAAAAAATGTGAAACTGAATTTTTTAAATTTTGAAATTTCCATTCGGTAGCCAAAAGTAATGAAAGAAAGTAGAATTAAAAAATTGATTGACGAGTTAGAAAGTCCAAATCAATAAATAATGACACTAAAATTAAATAAAACAATAACCAAAGCCCTAATTAAAAATTAAAGCCGAATAAACAGAAATAAATGAAACGAAAATGAATTTAAATGAAAAAAAAAATAGATTGAACTCACCTGATTGGGCTGAGGTGCAGATTGTGCCTGGAAATGTGGTGCCTTAGTGCCAATAGCACCGATAGGCTGTGAGGACGGTTTAACACTAGCTGACATGAGTGAATTAGACGATGAGCTGATCAAAACAGTATTAGGATTATTGCTGAGCTGTTGATTCTGTCCAAATGGTGGTGCAGCAGCAGCTGGTATACGATACTGTGACAAATTGCTCTGATACATATCAGGTGCTGGTGGATTTTGGGCATGCGGTGGTGGTGGTGCCTGCTGTAAGTACACATTCTGCTGATTGAATGAACTCTGAAGTGATGGAGCATAGGGTGGATACTGAGTGAATGGCGATCGACTCTGATCCAATTGGAATGCACCGTAGAGGCCACCAGCTTGGGCTGGCAATTGTCCTGAGCCAGTGTTGAATAGAACTGCTGGTGGTGATGGAATTGCTGACATGCTGCCATATTGAGCTGCTTGGGAGCCCGGATACTGTGGAAATTCCTGCGAAAAAAAGATAAATAAGAATAAAAATAAAAACAAGGAAATTTATTAAATTATTTCGTATTTTCCTAAAATGCCTGAGGACTCACCTGATAATTCATGTGCGAAGGCTGCCCAGTAGAGTTGAAAGGAGGTGGACTGAGTGGTGCCTGAATGCTGGCTGGTGGATGGCCAATGGGGCTCTGTCCAGGTCCAATGGGATTGGGCCCTGGTACTGTCGAATTAGCCTGCGCCCCACCGCCCCCAGATGATTGCTGCTGCGGCTTCACCTGCGGGGGAACCAGCTGCGCATCAGGCAAAGAGTCAGCAAAATTTCCCACAGGGGATAAATCCATTTTTTAATTCATCGAGATCAGAGTGATTCGACATTGGCACTAAAAAATATCAAAAAATTTCAAAAAATAGTTTTCTCACCTTGCAAACATTGGTTGACGTTGTTATTTCATTCTTCATGCTCGTCTGATTGTACTGCTGATGTGGACTGTACGAATCATCAACGTCTGTCGTCTCAAAGCTCTGGGGAAAGCTGTTGGCATTGGACACAACACTGCCATCCTCGTGTTCAACGACAGTTGGCATCGGTGCATTCTCCCAGACTTTTTTAACCGAAGCAATTTTGAGATTGAGTTCAGCAGTAGAAGGGGATATTGTGCTGTGTCCACCGGTCATGTGCATGGACCTGGGCATCCCCAGTGAGCCTTTGCTCTTGTCATCAGTCAACTGTGACAGATCAGCATCAAAAGTGAAGTCCAGCTTCATATCAGCATTGTCCTCAGTTTTATTGAAGGACAGTGGCATCTGTATGGGATCCTGGGAGTTTTTCTCCTTAAGTGGTTCATTCAATTTATTTGCAAAAGCAACAGCCAGTGCCTGCTGCTGTTGCTGAAGTTGACTGCCCTCCTCCTCGATTTCTCTCTTATCAACACGTTGCTGAGATCCACTGTGCTTCATGTGATTCGAGAATTTCGACTTGATAGCCATGTCCGAGGTTTTAGTGGTCTTCGAGTAATTTGTATTTTCAAAGATGAGAGTTTGAACGGGTGGGGACGAAGTGTCTGACACATTTTTATCAGCAATCGTCTCCTTCATCCCCTTCCCCTGAGCCTTATCACCACTTGGGGAGTTTCTCTGGCTGCTGCCACTGCTGTTCACCTGGTCATTGCCCTCGTGAGAGTGCTCACTGGATCCAGTCAGCCCTGACATCAATTGAATATCAGCTGGAACATTTGAATTAGGGGAGTTTGCCCTCATCTGACTGGTGAAGGGCTTGTCCCAGGCGTTGACAGAGGGTGGAGCTGCTGCACCAGTGGAGTCCTTGACGTGGCCAGCAGAATTATTTATCTTACTCTCACCATTGCCCCCCTCCTGAGGGTGTCCCTGCTGTTGTGCCTGTTGCCTAGCGAGTTTCTGCTTCTGAAACCTGGGAGCCAGCTTCTGACGACTGGGATTCCTGTCGAAAGCCTTGGGCGGCATGTTGGCAGGCTGGGGAATGGGCTGGCCAAGGAGTGGAGGAATATTCTGGACTTGTTGAGTGGTTGGCTGTCCATTGGACTTGGACTTTGAACGATCTCGCTCCTTGTCCTTGTCCTTCTCTCTCCTCGGTGGTTTGGCCTCGTCCTTCTGTCCATGTCTCGATGGATCCTTCAGATTCTTCTTAGATCTGACCTCCTGAAACCCATCGGTATCGAGCTTCATGTCCTCAGTGCTGTTGCTACCACCGTCGTCACCCCCTGACGGCGACAAATAGCTATTAATATCACCATCAATATCAACCTGCTTCTTCTCCTTTCCCTGTCCCTTCCACCCAATGTCCTTCAACACCTGATCAACCAAATTAGCATCATTGAGCTTGATCTCATCGACTCGATTGACAGTTGTTTCCTTTCCACTTTTCGACGACGACGAGTGCTGACTGTTGGCCGATCCCTGACTCCTCGGTCTCCCATTCTGATTGTTCGGTGGCTGCATGGCCCCCTGCGGTTGCATACTCATGGGAAAGTGATTCCTCTGATTGGGAAAAGCACTCATCCCCTGTGGACGCTTGTCAACCTGTCCAGGTGCTGAACGACCAGCACTCGACGGTTTATTCATTGACTTGTCCCTGTTATTCATCTGCTCATTTCGCCTGGATTGTTGCCCTGACTGTCCCTGACCCTGACGCCCAGGAAAGGGCTTGTGTCCCCTCGACTCCTTGTGCTCGTCCCCATGCTCCTCACTGTTCTCAGACGTCGTCTCCCACTCCTCATTCCCCACATCTGACGAATTCTGCTTTACAGCAGACGAACGAATTCTATCCCTGTTCTCCCTTCGCCTCCTGCTGCCACTCCTCGTCCTCTTGTCGTCCTTCTTCTGGCTCTTAACCCCCGAACTGGCATTGGCCTGATTATTCGACTGATGATTCGGGGATTTGGCTCGCCTCCCAGGCATTCCAGTGATGCCAGCAGTGAGTGCCTGCTGTTTAGCAATAATTTTATCATCAGCTGACTCCGATGAATTGTGATTGCTGTTGTCATTGTCAGTTGAAGTGTTCTGTTGTGCTGGTGGTGGTGTCTGTTTATCATCATTATTTCTGTCTGATGAGAAAGGGCTTTTGCTGGGTGGTGGACCATAGCCCTCCATTCTGGCGCCGAGAGTTGACCCCCTGACCCTAGCACCCCCTCTGCCACGTCGTGAGGGCTCCCCAGAGGGGGCAAAACCCTCACGAGGACGTGACTCATAGCTCGGACGTTTGTCACTGCCTGAACGTACCTGAACATTACCATAATCCCCACTTCGTTTGTCCTCCCTTCTGGTCACCTCTCTGTTGCGCTCGTCCTTATCAGATTTCTGCGCATCAGCAGTTTTACTGGGGCCAGTGGATCTCCTGTCCTCCTTTCCCGACTCGACAGACCCCGAAATCTCATCCCCACTGATGTCGGAGTCAGTGTGTGCCCCGTAGGATCCACTCTTGGCCGAGCCAGGACGTCCCATCGATCTGGAGCCAGTGCCACGTCTTCCACGAGACTCTGGCCCCCTCCACCTCGAGTACATGTTGTAACCCCCCCAGGTCCGGCCACCCCTGGTCTCTCGTCCCCTCGAGCTCGAGCCACTGCCACTGTTCGTCCTGTTGCGAACGTTCTTCTCACGCTTGTCGTCCTTCGCCTCCTCCTTGTGCGAGTCCAACTCCTCTCGTTTATCGATAGCCAGCTTATCCATGCTCTCCTTAAGCTCCTCCTCTGGCTCCTTATCGTCCTTGAGAGTGTCCGCTATTTTCTCATCGTTCTTCTCAAACGTGGGGGAGACAGCGTCGGCCCAGGCGCAGTTGAGCCCCTCACGCTCACCACCCCTGGCCGCCTCAGGAGTTCTCTCCAGCTTTCTCCCCCAGACATCTGGCTCTTTATCCTTCTTGACTTCCTCCTTGGGGCTCTCCTTCTTCTCCTGATGATCGAGCCTCTTCAGCTGCGTCAGCTGACGCTTCTCCACCTTCAAATCGTCCGCCTGCAGCTTCTCCCTGGTAATCGGCCCTGGTGGCGCACGCCTGTCCCTCTCGCGCTCTCTGTACTCCTCCCTCTCCCACCTCTTCTCCTCGTAATCCGACATCTCGTGGGCCCACGACGTCGACTTGTGCTCATCATCGCGCTGTGATGTCCTCGATTCTCTCGAGGCACGAGAGTCCCTGGAGTCCGGGCGCTGTGGTCTCTCACTCCTCTCGATTCTCTCGTCCCTCTCACGACGATCTATCCTCTCGTCACTCCTCCGCGCCTCCGTCGACCAATCGCTGGTCTCAGACCTCTCGCGATCGTCCTCAGTCCCCTGTGACTTCCAATCGTACTCCTTCGAGCCCTCAAAGTCCCTCGGCTTCTCGTAATCCTTGTCCCGAGGGCGATCCTTCTCCCTCACATCGCGAACCTCCGAATCCCTCTCTCGAAAATCCCTCGAGTCCCTCGGTCTCACCTCCCTCATCTTCTCCTCGTAAATACGATCCCTGTCGCGCTCCCAGAATTCACGTCCATGTCTCTCCTCGTGATCATTCTTGTATCCACGATAATCGTCGTGATAACCAGACTTTCTCGAGTCAAAGAGATGATGCATCTGCGGTCTGAAGCGATCGTCACGTCTTCCGTGGGAGCTGTGGCTTGTGTGGGGCACATGATCCCTCGAGGGAGGTCTTGGCTCCTCCTCCAGGGGGCTCGACAAGCCGTGATCAGAGTCAGCGCGATTTCTCCGCTGTCCCAGGCCCATGTGGGACTTGATATTACCCGAGGACGACCACCTGCCAGGATCGTACTGCTGGGAGAACGGCACATTCGTGACATTCGGTGACGAGAGAGTTCTGTCAGCACTCGGTGGTGAAACTCTGTTGTAGCCAGACGATCCCCTCTCCGCCTGCTGCTTCTGAAAGCGAGGTGGCAAATTACTCTGGAATTGTCGTGAAAATGCTGGCTGATCGCGATCCCTGTTGTCCCTCTGCTCACGCTGATCCCTGTCGCGTTCTCGCTCCCTGTCGGCCCTCGTGATGTCCTGCCTCATGAAATTCCCCCTCGTGAAATCCTCCCTGATGTCACGCCCCATGGGCTTCTCCTCCTTCCCCTCTGACGACGTGCGTGAGCGCTCTCTGCTCTCCCGTTCGCGATTCTCACGCTCTCTCTCCCACTCGGGAACTGGAATTGCAACTGGTGGGACTGTTATCAGCCCCTTGGGCTCAGCAACTGGTGGATCGTCCTCGATTTTCGCTTTGTTCTGCTTGATCTTGTTCTCGAGGTCCTGGAGCTTCTTGGCAGCCGCCTGTTTCGTCTGCTCCTGGAAACGCTTCTCCTCCTCCTCCTTGCGCTGGCGTGCGCGCTCAACCGCTGACGCCACCTTCTCCCCCTGCTCCTTGCGCCTCTGGTTCCATATCTCCTCCTCCTCGACACCTCGCAGAGAATGGGAACGTGGCTGCGAGCTTGAGCTGTAGTTGTCCCTCATTGCCGGCATGTTGGGGCCGTTCGATGATGAACGGTAGTCGTTGCGTTGCTGGGGCTGCTGCCAGGGTCTATGGGACATGTCGCGATTGTCCTTGGGATCGCGATTGTCCCTGGGCCTCGGTGAGTCCTTGTCGTCGTTAAGTGACGAGCCACCAGTGTCAGTCACTGGTTTTTCCTCCTTAATCTCGTCTTTTCTGGCTTCTTTTCTATCCTCCTTCTTGGGGTGTGGGGCCTCTGTGTCAGGCTCATCATCGCTGAATGCCAATTTCTGATTGTAATCGATGTCGTCGTGCGCCGCCCAACCTGGCTCGTGCGATATGTCATCCATTCTGGTGAGATCCTCCTCCTTTATTATCGGACGACTCATCATCTCCTCCTCGTGCTGTGAACGATCACGTTCACCAGGGCGTGGGCCCATCTGGCCACTTGGCCGTTCATTGGAATTATTATTGAAGCGTGGACGTGGCCCACTGGTACTAACGTTAGATGGAAATTGTGAGGGAAAACCACCGGGTGGAAAATTTCCACGGCACATAAATTGGGGTATCAGGCCACGGTAGTGATGGAGATTTTGTCCAGACTGGGTGGACTGATTTTGGGATGTTGTCGATTGGTTTTGGCCTGCCTGGGCCGATACCGTGACCGGAGATTGGCCCAAGTTGGCACGAATACCAGGTGATACGTCTTGGTGGGATGACTGCAGGGGTACACCGGTTATTCCAGCTATACTGCCTATCTGGGGGACCTGGGCCACTGGTGTACTTCCATTTCCAGTAGCAGGGGATACGGTAGAGCCGGGGGTGCGACTTCCACCCTGGATCCAGCTTCCTTCTGCTGTAACACGAGGGTACGGGCGGTTGTTAAGGGGTGCTGTGGGGGGGAGGGGGGGCTGAGGGTTTCCAAGGGGTTTTTTGGGGGGGCTTGATTTTCTTGACGTGATTTGATTGAATTTTTGGAGACTCCTGGGGTGAGCAACGAATTTTTTGCTTGGGTAAATCGATTTTTTTTAGTACTTTGGCTTAAATCGCTGTATTCTGCAACTTTTTGCCATTTTTTAATTTTAAAAGAAAGTCAGCGTCATTAAAATTACATTTGGCAAAGAATTATTTTTTTTGAACATTCGTTGTTTATAAATAAATAAGTAAAATTATTAAAAACTTTCGAAAAACTTATTTTTTAAATTGATTGTTTATAAATTATTTGTAGAAAATACTCGTAATTTTCAAAAATTGTAATTTCAAAATTATTTCATCAATCTTCCACCAAAAGTAAACTTTCTCATTTTTTTTCAGATTTTTAAAATGTTTTCTAACGGTTCAATATCGAGATTCTAATTCAGATCTGCAAAGTTTCAATAATAAAATTAATAAATTAGTCGAATAATAAAAAAAATGAAAATTCTACTCTACATTTTCAAAACATTCTCTCAATGTTAAGTTCACAATAAAATTTTAAAAAATCAAAATAGAATCTTCAAAGCTCAAGCAACAAAATCACTGCAAAATGTGACATTCTGGGGTCAAATGGAGGCATTAAAAAATTTCCAAAATCCTTGGATACCCTCAATCAGTTTCATCCACTCTTGGTTAGTTAATAAAAAAAAAAGAAGCCAAATTTTGAATCTACATGTTATCTTGCTAAATTATTATATTCGAAACATTGCAATTACTTTGTGGACGTAGGCTCGGACCAGGGCCGTACTGTGCGTTCAGCTCCCGATTTTGTTGCGACTGTTGCTGCTGTTGGCCAGCCGACGCACCTCCTATTCGCATAACAATTTTCATCTTTTATATTGCTCGTATTTTCCTCGAAAATAATCTATCTCTCTCTCTTTCTCTCTCATCTCAATGTTCACTCGTCCGATTAAAATTAGACGTACGATCAAATAACTCATCTTGAACGAATAAAAAAAAAAAATGGAAATGATGGAAAATTAAGGTGTGCACAATCTACAAGTGGATGAAAATAAAAACGAGTGTGTGGAATGCCCTGGACTGTGGGAAATTCACAGGTGATGCGTCTAAAATAATAACAATTGGATGAAGCACATGTACACCCCACTCGTATCTACGAAAATAAATGAAAAAAAACCAAACATTCTTCAAGTGAAAATTCTCCAATTGAAGATCTCCTCTTGAATTGCGAATTTTCCCTAGCAAGTGAGGCCTAAAAATCAGGCAAAAATCAAGGGTTTGAGATGCAAAAAAAAAGACTTTGGAAAAGGGAAACAAAAGAATTAGCATCTAGATTTGCAGAGGAATCCCACCTGCATGATTGTGGGAATACGACTGTTGCGGTAGCAACTGATGCTGGGCATTTACAGATATTGCATTTGATGCTGTTGAGGTATGCTGTGTCTGGCTCTGAGTGGAGACCGAGGGCTGTCCACTGAGACTGGGAAACTCGTGTTGGAACTGCGGGGACTGGTGGGCGAGGAAACTCAGTCCTAGGGTACCTCTTCCAGTTCTCCCGCCCCCTACGAGACCCGCATAACCAACCGCAGTTGAAACGCCGGGTGTACCTGATCATACGTTTTTTTTTCTTTTTTTCTCTTTTTTTTTCATTTGGGGGCCATTCGCAGTACTTCACCCATTCAGTAATTCAAGGGACAAGGTAAGGCATCAAGTTTGACAGGTGACTCGTATTTTTGTCCCTCAGACCTCCCTTGGAAATTTTTTAACAATTGATTAACCAGAGTATTACACTATTTGAAATTTTTTGAAATTAGATTTTGGATTTTTTTTTAATGAGATTAATATTTCATAGTCATAATTTCCAGATAATTTTATCTGAATTCATTTAAATGAAATGAAAACATTTTTTTGTTAATCTTGACAATTTAATAAAATTGAAGTTTTGATATTTTAATGACAAAAAATTTAACATCACGTTCGATTAAATGTTCAATAAATTAAAAATTCAGTAATTTTCATTGTAATATGGACTTTTAAGCTGCAATTTCACTGAATATTTCGGAATTTTCAATGAAGCAAATTTGAATCCAATAAAAAAATCCTATCAATCTTCAAAATTCAAGTTTTGATATTTTAAAGACAAAAAATTTAACATCACATTCAATTAAATTTTCAATAAACGCAAGGTTCAGTAATTTCCATTGCCACATGAAACCGGAATTTGCAATTTCAGTGTAATTCCCAAAGTTTAATCAATTGAGAGAAATAAAAAATCAAAGCCTGCTGCACCTGATCACACGTTTTTATTTTTCATATGGGGCCATTCGAAATATTCCATCCACTCAACATGTCATGCATTTGCCTTTGGAGCTATTCGACATATTCCACCCACTGAGCAATTCAAGGCACAAACTGACGAATCAAATATCATGAAAATGAACCGAGTGATTTATTTACCGACCCACATCCACAATCCACAAACAAATCTGCGGTTTAGGGGAATAAAGGAGTGATGATAATTCAATTTTCCAACCCCTGGGGTTCGATAATGAGAGGTCAATGAAACCCTTGAAACATAACAATGGATCTTTATTCCTCCCAATCACAGAATCTTTTTACTTTGTTTCGTAACGACCAAAAGAGAAACTCAACGAAAGAATGAGAATCATTTTTTTTTAATTTAATTTTTCACTTACCGAACTCTCCGGGTCTCGTCATAATTGCACTCCATGATGATTTTCCTCCTATTTCTGATGGATGTGGAGACTGAGATGTATTCTGCTGTTGGCCTGGCAGTGACGGCTCTTGCGATGGTGTCGATGCGGGAGTTGTTGCAGCCACACATTGTGTAGGTGAAGAATTGCTCTGGAAAATGCAAGAAAATAATTTATTGCATAAAGATTTATTTAATTCTCCTCCACAGATGTTTTTTAAAATGATTGACTGTAAAATTGTCGGTGATAATTCACTGTTACAACTAGGTTAAAGTAATATGAGACAGCAAAAATGAATTTTTTATTTAGTAATAAAAAAATTAATTACGGAAGTGAAAGTTTTAATTCATTTTTTTTCAGGACTTTAATCTTTTTTAAAGGACTTGGTCATTTTTCACTTCTAAGTTGATTATTATCAGCGACGAATGACCGAGATTATGATAATTCCACTGTCAGAATTTTTTTTTCAATTAAAATTTCAATTTTCAATTTTGTGAAGTTGAATTAAATTCAAGATCAAATCGTCTTGATGATTTAAAAAATTCAGCTAAACTTCCTGTCAATAATTGTTGACATTTTCAACACTTTCTACTCAAAATGTCAGACATAATCTCCAATAATCCAATTGCAAGGAAAAAAAGCATCAAAAGTTTAAGTAAAAAAATAGTAAATGACACTTACGGTTAAATTGTCGGATGATTGGGCTGATGTAGAGTTGGTAGAGGTAGTAGTAGTTGATGATGCTGGTTCCTTAGTAGTTGCCCAACCGCTTCCACCGCTGGGTACAAGACTGACAGCTGGATCACTGCTGCTGTATTCACTTTTTAAACTAGGCAAGTTAGCGGGTGGACGCCGTGCCGAAGGCACCTTTCCCAAACTCTGCATTCCATGTTTGCGTGGTAATGTGCTTTTCTGCTGGTGCTGCTCCAAAGATTCTCCCTGCAATGTCAATCGTTCCACATCAATTTCATTTTTCCATTAATTAAACCCAACTGCTTACGCTATTTTGTCTCAAGTGAAATGTTTTTCTACTTTTGTAATCGAGCATCAGAGCTTTCATTTTACATTTGCAATGATTTTGCACTTTAAAATGATTTTATTATTTGAACTTTGCAGCTTTAAATTTTAATTTCGATATTAAATCGTTAGAAAACATTTTAAAAATCTGAAAAAAAATTGGAAAGATCTACTTTTGAAGGAAGATTGATGAAATAATGTTATAAAATATGAAAATAATGTTATAAAATATAAAATTAAAAAAAAAGAGAGACGTCAATCTTTTCATGTCGATTTATTCAAAGCTATTTGGCAAATTATTTGCCAGTGGTGTCCAGAAAAATTAAATCTCCCAGTGACATTTTCATTAAATTTACGTTTGCTTTCTCACGCAAGACAAGACATAAACATCCGGATTATTTTCAACTCACCCTGCTGACCCGGTACAAGCTATTGATATCTAGAGATTGAAACTTTGATTTTCCTTTCTCCCCCTTCGACACAATCCCCGACAGAGTAGACATGCTGTCTGCAGGCAACCATTTAGTACGACTCAGACCCAACGAACGAACCCTTTGTCTGTAAACAAAACAATTGTGAATAAAGGGACATTGATTCAGCAGGATTAATTCTAATTCTAGTTCCATTTCTCAATTTTCTTTTTCTTCAAAGTACAGAGATTCATTAATTTTTTACGGATTTTGTTGGCGTTGGGTTTTTTTTTTGTGGACTTCATTAATTAATCGTGAGGTTCATCCAGGGGATTTTTAAACAATTAATAATTTTTAATAAGATATATTAATCTCACAATCTCTAATTTCTATTTTTTTTAATTTTTTCCTATAGTTTGAAAAATTTATTAATAATTTAATAATAATATTTTTTTATAGATTTAATTGAAATTGTGGTCTTATTTTTTTTTTTGGGGACCTCATCAATTAATCCTGGGGTTCATCCAGGGGATTTTTAAACAATTAATCATTTTTAATAAGATATATTAATTTCACAATCTCTAATTTCTATTTTTTTAAATTTTTTCCTATAGTTTGAAAAATTTATTAATGTTTTATAGATTTAATTGAAATTGTGGTCTTAATTTTTTTTTGGGACCTCATCAATTAATCCTGGGGTTCATTAAGGGTATTTATAAGCAATTGATAATTTTTAATAACATATATTAATCCCAGAATCTCTAACTTCCATTTTTTTTAAATTTCGTCCTACAGTTTTAGAGATTTATTAATGTTTTATGGATTTAATCGGAATTGTTCTTATATTTTTCATTGTGGACTTCATTAATTAACCCTGAGGTTTATTCAGGGAATTTTTAACAGTGCAAACAATGAATAATTGTGAACAATCTCATTTCCATTAAAAAAAAATTTTCCTCCACTTTTACGAATTTTATTAATGTTAAAAAAAAATTATCATTGTGGGACTATTAATTATTATTTACCCTCGGCTTCATCAATAATTCAAAACAACGAATTTTTAGGGTCGCAGACTGAAGCAATAACCTCTGCAATTTTTTTCATGAATATTTTATGAATTAAAAATTGCCATTGTGTGAGTATTAATTATTTCTCATCATCGCCTCCATCAATGACCCAATGCAACGAATTTTCACGAGTGCAAGAGTCAAACAGTCATCTGTACAATTTTTTCAGCGCCAACAACTCCACAACTACGCGACTTAAAAATATTTCCACCCCGAGATTCGCCTGAATCGACCCCCGACGAGTGTCAGTTCCCCAATTTTGTGTCAATCCTCCAGCATTTTCTCTATTTCCCAAGCGTCTGTTGCAAAACAATTACCCAATTCCCCAAATAAAGAGGCGAAACCTCTGAAGAATCCCATGTAACCACCGAAAAAAAAATTCTCAAAAATACTTGAACCCGAGTTTTCATCCCAATAATTCGGGAATTGGTACAGTTGAAGCTGCCCTTTCCTCCGCATCATCACTCCGCAATGTTCCCCGATAACACCAGAGATTAGATGTAATCAGTGGCGCGTTAAAAGCCCCACAAATTTTCACCCATTCCGTGGTAAAAAATTCTTCCCAACAACACGAACGATTGCCCCAATGAGACGTTAAAATGCCCCTGACAAGAGATGAGAGGAGAGACGGAAGATAGAGCGTGAGAGAGAGAAACACGGAGAATTGGCTGTTCCGTGCAGCCCAAGGAAAAGCTTTGTTAGGTTGTGCCACGAGCACAGCTCAACGGCTCAAACTCGCTCGTCAGAGACAGAGGCATTATCCATCTTTTTGTTTTCACTGGCGAAATTTACTTAGAACAAATAATCAGCGATTTAAAAATTCAATGAACCCTGGACGAATAAAGAATTCCCCGCGACGAGGGCGGGGGGGGGAGGGATCCCAGCGAAATCT